AATGGATAGCATCGAACACGTCCCAATTATATTTAAATAAAACATATATCTTCTATTGATTTGATCAGTATTTTTTTTTCTTTCAAATAAATGATTAATGTTCATAAATATCTTCATTTTTTTGCAACAGGATCGTATTAGGATTAAATATCGATTTATTTAAAATATTAATTAAAAATATATATACTGATCAAATATCTCGTAACTTTCACCGTCCTATTTCTTCAAATTTCAAACAGCAGATTGTGAAAGGGTGCGATAAAAAAAGAAGGAAAATAGAAAAATAAGACAAGTAAAAGAGATTCTCTCTTAACGCGTTTGCACTAAGAACACGCACACACCAAGAAGATGTGTATTTTGCTTTTGTCCTCGGCTCGGTTAAATCTTCAAGAGCAGAAGGACGAGAAACGTTTCCATGAGCGTATATAATAGCTTACTGGCTTCAGCCATTGCGCGTGCATCCGCGCACGTGCGATTACCAAGCCAGAGTTTAACAGGGGAGCTTAGAGTTCATTCACACAACAGAAGGAAACGTCGATCTTCTCTCGATAAATGGACGACGCTGGATTACTATTATATTTTCGAGACTGTGAGATAAGTTCCTATAGTCATTCCTTAGATTTAAAAAATAAAAGGAAGCATAGGAGCAATATATGAGCTTTACTTGACAATGTCACGCGCCGTATGCGATTAATTCAAAATTGACGTCTACTAGTATAGACGAAAAAAAATATGTGTAATATCATTAACTAACCCCTGACTCATATAACCAATCTTGAAGAATATGTGATTTATAACAAATTCTTATGTACACTGCAAATTAGGATAAAATGCATATGTTTGGAGAGTCAACAAATGTTTCAAAAATACAGAGGATTGTGATTGTATTAGGATGTACATTAATTATTAACGATGTAATCATATTTTTGTTTGCGTTAATTATATTATCGAGTACTCTCATACATTAGTATTCGTGTAATTGTTCAGTCATCGTACCAAAACTATCCTATTAGAATAATATCATGACAAAGATAATATAACCAACCAAGCTTGTTCGAAATCCGTACAAAGTTAATATAACAACAACAAAATATCGTTACATTGGGGATAATCGACTCTCACCTTTAAGCAATTGTAAAGAATTATTATATACGATAAGTCATCTTTTTGGAAGGAAAAAAAGTAACTCGTGTGATGAATAGGCGTTACCATAACGACAATATGTACGCTATGTGCTTTGCCACGATGCCATTGCCCCCGTATGCATTACGTGTCTTTCCATATACGTCCGTGAGCATTCAGACTACAGGGGTTGGCTTGTGTCAGTTCTATTAGGGGTGAACCGGACACTGGAAGACAGTCTGGACAACGTTCTGCACCACCCCTGTGTGACTCCTTGAAGGGTGTCTTTTATATATAGAACATTATTTACAAGAATACTATGAGAAAAGGATATAGAAAGAACAAAAAACCCATAAGAAGAGATTTTCCATTGATATCGAGCGACAGGTATTGAATATATTGAATCGTTTTTCTTACTTTTCAAAATGTTTTATATGGAAATAAAAATAAAAATTAAAAATGAAATAATAATTTCAAATAAATGTCGTTCTATCACGATGAGAGATAAAATCATGAAAACACGATACGATTTTAAGGCCAGATATAATACATTATGTATACCTATGTACTTATAAAAAATTAGATACATGTATTTGTATTGCACATATTATTAATACATATATATGAGAATAATTTCACTGGCGTGATTGTAATACAACACTGGAAAGCAGTATAATGCGATATTTACAGTGGATTAGATCGATCCAAAGAGAATGCTGCTTGCACGTGTACATACATACTTGGATGCATAAGCCTTCACATGCAAAGCTGTTTGACTACTACCTTCAAGTTACGATCAAATGAACCTAGACCTTATCTAGTTGAGTCTAGTACTTCGAAATTAATATACACCATATTCTCTCGACGTAGCTAAATCTATAAATATTTATATTTTCTTCTGAAAGATGCGAGAAGGAGAGGTAAAGGGAAGATCAAGGTATAAGTCTAGCTATGTAAGCGTATTATAAAGTAAAGTAATAATAATTATTTATGAGATACAGTATCAAAGTTGTGAAAAATTATAACAACACTTTCTATCACCGTTATCATTTAAACTATGCAATCTTCAGAGATAACGAATAAATCCTATACCGTATAATATAACTTCATTGAAACTCTCTGACAAGATTTGTCATTAAATCCTAGAACGAAAAGTTTTGTTCTACAAATTTTCTCTATCCTAGATTTCCAATAATTTAACGTTTCGGTAAAGAAAATCTCTTACAATATATAATTTCTTTACTGAAAAGAAAAAGAACCTGTTTGCTAATAGTAAGAAAAATATGCTTGGTGTGATACGATAATGTAAGGTTTGCCGTTTTGTAAGACACGTGCTATAAATCAACGGTGAATATATCTCGCGAGGAAAAGTAAATATTATCAATATTGCATGTGCTATTATTCAAGTTTTAATATACAAATGTACAAATGTGTCACGAAAAAAAAATATAATAACGATAATATAACAATAATGGTGAAAAATTGAATTATTTCATTCTGATAGTAATTCCGTTTAATCCAAATAAATTTATCTATAAAAAGTAATAATGTTAATATAACCTACATAAAGAGACAAATCGTGTAATGAGTAAATGAGCCTACTTATTACGGTCACGTTAACAGGCAATATTGTAAACCATGTAAGTTAGCTGCTAGCTTACATTTACTGCTTGACGTGGTTAGCCAGAAAATACGAACCGTTCATTTTCAAACGGTCACTGGCACGTGATTACGTATATACTTTTCCAATTCAATATTAGTATACAGCAAGAATACTTTCTAGACGAATTACTGTGTAATGCATACAGAAATTTAATAATTAAAATCATTCGATTTATACGTGGGTGGGATTAAAAGTTTAAAACCTTTTTATTGACATGAAAACAATTTTCGTTAATCACTATTATTCTTATTTTTTAAAAATATAAAAGATTTTTTTACTAAAACTTCAACTCTTTTATAAGTGAATACAAATTCGATAATTAAAATAATTTATCAGTCAATTCATTTCTTTTATTTTTCTACCGTGCTTAATTTTTAAATTGGAGAAAAGTTTATTTTGTGAATTTAACACTAGATATACCAGACCAATCATTTTGACTGGTCGGGCCATTTTAATTCAAAATTTCTATTTCATGTAACATTTGATTTCTGTAAGTAATTAAGCGTTTTGTTATTTAAAAATGTCTATAAATCCATTTATCTATTAAAATTATTATTGTTAAACATTTTTTATTATTTTTTAAGAGTAAATAGAGACTAGAAGCCTCACAAAGCATTTTTTTTTATACACCAGTAATTTTGACTAGTGTGGTAGAAATAGATATACTGAAAATGATGGTATATCTAGTGTTAAAAAACTATGTCAAGTATTATTATTCTGAAGTATTTAGCTATAAAATTAAGTAAACATTTCAAAGATCATCGTAGAATAGCAAATAGAAAAATATAAATACGAGGTTTACGAATCTATGAATGTGCAACAAGTACGTTCAAGTCTCTTAAAAACATACTAATGCAACAAGTTAACCACAGTGTGATACCGCAATCATGTCTCGACCTTTCTTCATTCGTCAGGCTTTAAAGAACTCCTTCCGTGTCGCGTGTTGATTTCAAATTTAACGTATAAGAAACAGGTTCCATCTTAGATCGTAATCATACGGACAATATTAAAGTTAATACGAATATGTATTCTAACCTACATCTTAAATCTCAAAAAAAAAATATTTAAAAAATAGTAAATAAAACTTTAGATTACATTGCATGTATATAAACATCTTAAAAAATGATATACATGAAACAAATGTAAATATATTGTTTAATTTGAAATTTCTTCTATTAAAAATAATTAAAATAATTCAAAAATCTTACATTTTGCGCCAATTTTGAATAAAAAAATGGAATTTAGTCTGACTTTGGTAAAAAAAAAAGTAATAAATAGCATTCTATGAGATATGTGTTTTTAATATTTTTTATCGGATTACGATCAATTTTCATAAATTTTCTACGTCGTTGGATGAAAGCCATCTTTCGAACGTGTAAAAAGATAAATTACGTATACGTAAACCTACGACATTCCATTCGTCAAGGGCGTAGAATGCTTGCTTACGTAGAATTTATACCCTGATAAAAAATCTTTCTTAAAAAGAGAAGATAATAAATTTTAGAGACAAAATTTAAATACAAAAAAAATAGAAATAACAAAAGAATTTAAATATGTCTGAACGTTTGTAAGGATTCTCCCGCCTTTTTGGCGGTATCAATAATCAAACATTCAAATACATCGATATATGTATTTACGTTTAATCTTATTTTTTTGTAAAAAGAAAAATCAACATAAAAAGAAGTACATACGATATCGCCCAAAATGACGCCGTTATATGAACATCTCAAATCACAGTACCGTAACTACTTATTTTTTTTCCTATCCAAACATGCATATACATACACGGAAGCGAAAAAAAAGAAAGAACATCTATTTCGTAATTAAATGGTTTTTATTTTATCGACGATAACGTAATTACTAACAAACGCGTTATTTTTAATAACAGCGAACAATAATACGACCTTTCAGATGATAAATTTAATAATAAACTTTCAAATTATCGACGTTCGAGGATATAAACAAGAATACCTAATGCATTGTTATATGATTTTTCTTAAATCTAATGCGATTAACGAAAGTTTAGTATCGATAATTAAACATTTGGATATTGTATCTTTCGGATGGTAGGAGAAAAACATTATATCGAAAAATGAACGAAATAACGCTCATTTTTAGACAATAAGTTAAATTAATGATAAGAGAAAGTATAATAGTATAATAACTTACATATATGTTTAATTATAGAAAAATTATATATTATTTATATACTTACGTTAATAAAGTAGAGAGAGAGAGAGAGAGAGAGAAAGAGAGAAATAAAGAAAGAGATAGATGTAAAAATCTACAAGGTTTGGTCCAGCTCTTTCTCGATGTCCTCTGCGTTGTTTCCTACTACACACCAATCACGATAATACCACTTGTCGTATACACTATCGATATACATACACTGTCGCTCTTGTTTTCTTGTCAATAATAATTCACTTAATTATTTGATCACGTACGTATATAATTTGCAAGCGGCATTTGTGCCGCGTTCTGTATTACACTATAACCCCGCGCGTTATAAATTATTGTTTTAATACGTCTGGAAATCCAATCCGCTTTCGGCGCCGTTCGTAGCGCATTTGTGCTCATCCGCGCCGACCGGTAAACGTTCCCTTCGCGACGCGGTCGCTATCCCCTTCACACCTTTCTTTTACCAATCAGAAGGCTTGACTCAGCATCGTAACGCGCAGCCGCGAATGCGCACGCATTATCAAAAACTTAAATCGAGACTTATTATATATTTTGTGAGTTGTCAATTTCAAATTGAAGTATAAATAATAATAATCAGAAAATTATCAATACAATAAGAGATATATGTGTATTGCAAATTTTAATGGACATTACAACTACCGTTTAGCTCAACTTTCAAATCCTCTAGCAAAAAATCTGTTAGAACGGCTGAATTAATACGCAGACTAAAAACGATCTATTCTTCCGATCTATTAACAAAATTTGATAAAATAAAAATTCTATTTAGTTATAAAATATATTTTATGTGAACCTGTAACTGTAACATCTTTTTTTTTAATGTTGTTCTATCACATCATCTTTTTTAATACTTATAAATCTCTTACGAGAATTGATTTAATTTCCGTCTATTAAAATTAAAAAAAAATAAAAATAATATTATTTATTATAATTATATATTATATATATTATATATAATATAATATATATAATATATATATATATATATATATATATATATATATATATCTTACATTACAATCTTTATTTTCTTATACATAAGGACATAATCTTTGTACAGAATTATTTTAAAGAAAGAATATATATATATTATTGCAAATACGAATATATTTTGTACAGAATTTTGTTACATTACCAAAATTTTAAATTGTTTTTACTAAATATAATATTATACAATTTTACTAATAGCCACAATATTGTTAAATAATGTATATAGAAATTCACAATATTTATTGGTAATCATGACAGTACCTTTAGCGGTGCTGGTGTATCGTGCATATAATTATGTGCCATAAGTATCAGTTATGTTACAAGTTATTAATTTAATGTAATTAGATATATTAAATAGATTTTAATATATATAATAAAAATATAACACAACTTTGAATCAAATAATATGATTAACGAAATTTAAATAAATTTAACTACTTCTTTACTTTTCTTCTATTAATGTGATTTCAGCTTGTTGTGTAAAATGTGGCACACGTGGAAATTTCATCAAAGTAGATTTTGTATTTATAGCCCTTTTTTTAATGTCGATTTTATCTGCATTATTATCTTGTTCTAATGGTAGTGTCACTGACGTAAGAGAATCTTTCGATGATGGTTGCTCTGTTAGAATGTCCGAATTTTCGTTTTCAATATGTAAACGAACTAAAGACTTTCTATTTAATGCTTTACATGACGTTCCCTTATTAAGTAGAAGTTCTTTACGAAAAGCTACTTCTTTTAGATCATAAATAAAATCTTTATCTACTGGTTTTACGCGATTACGAATAGGACGTTGAGGTTTTAAATTATCGGGTGACGTTGAAGAATTTGAATCTTTAGAATCTTGAATAGTCAGATTACTCCGATTTAACTCCGTTTTACTTTCCTTGCTATCAACTTTTTTATCAGGGCTTGTATTACTTTCAATACTAGATGTTTCCGATTCTTGCTGTTTCAAAGAACATTCATCAGGTGTGCCAAAAATGACTCGCATAACCATTCTTTTAAGATCTGTGTCCAAATTTCCAGTCTGAAAACTCTCACTGTTTTTACTAAAGTTCGAAGTATTGTTATTTTCATTGTTGACTTTAATAGAAACACTATTATCTTTTTCACTTGAGCAAGGCACTTCTTTAGTACCAGCTTCTTTATTGTCAATGTTTATATTGACTACATTTTTAGGGTATTTTTCCATACTTACATTCTTTGTTTTATTGTGATCTATAGTATTAGATAAACTATTTGATTCAGATTCATTTATATTTTCTTCTGTATTGGTCTCATTAATGACTATATCTTCATTATCTATATATTTATCTTGCGATATTTCTAGAACCATCTCTGTTAAAAGTGCACGATTATTTTGAGCGTTATGGATTTTGTTACAATGAGCAACACAATCATATTTTGCAAAACATTTAAAGTCACATAATTTGCAACGATATCTATTCCAACCAATATGAATTGCCATATGTCTACGTAAGTTCGTCATGGATGTAAATTTCCTTTTACATGGAAGGCACTGTAACTTTCGAAGATTTGCTATAGTCGCTATTTTATTTTCCATTATTGTTGTTAGATCAAGTTGATTTTTTGATGGAGCAGATGACGAATTCAAAGTTCGGCTAATATTTTTGCTTGAATTATTAGATTTCGTCTTTTCTATAATAAAAAATTATTCATAATTTTATTATAATTTAAATTTACATACACAACCATAAAGTTTACAACAGTAAGCTTAAAGTTTAGCGCATAAATGTAAAAATAAAAAGAAATATTTTCACCTGTAATATCTTTTGATATTTTCAATGTATGATCTGCTACTAATTTTCTTTTTTTACTTCCATTCTTTACAGTTATTATTTCAGATGTATACACAATTTCAGGAGACTCCGTAGTATTATGGGACGGAGATGAATCTTTCTTCGTGCTATTATTAAATGATTCTTGATTTGGGGAAGCACTTGAACTTGATGAAACACTAACTACATCAGAACATCTACTATCATTAGAATTCTCATTACCAATCATATCCCAGTCTGCATCTGAAAGGGTAATTATGTTTTCTACACGAATAGATGTTTCATTCAATTCAGTTATTTCAGGAGGCGTTTCTGCAATAACTGGCACATTAGGTATATTATTGCTATTTGTCGTAGTTTTAGCTGCTTTCTTTTCTTTAATTTTAGCTTCGTTGCATGCGGCAATTCGCCTTTGACAATGTTGCGAATGCGAAAATAAAGCAGCTTTTCTATCAAATCTTTTACCGCATCCACCACATCTTTGGAGCTCTGAATCGGATTCTAACTGATTCATCCATTCCTAAAATAAAATACTCCTGTAAATATAAAAAACTAAAGATACAAATGTTTATTCACACATTACTTACGCGAGTTTCATTAGTTGCTTGTAAATCTACTATTTCACAAGTTTTGGTATTTGCATTATTTTGCTCCGTATCATCCGTTTGTGTTATTTCCTTACGAAATGCTTTTTCTTGTATTTGCATTCTCAGTTTCCGTACTTGTTCGTTCGACATTTTGTGAACTGTAAAAAATATTAACATATGTATAATTTATCAATTATTGATTTACAAAAAAAAGTAAAGTATTATAAATACTTTTGAATAGATGGCGATATACACTCCAAGTATTTACAAATGTACTTGTACAACACGGACATGGATAGGACATACGATGAGATGTATGTAGCGTTTTCATATGAAACGTTAATGTCTTCTTGGTAGAAAACTTTGCGTTACCTAAATATAATAGTATAAATAAACTTTATTTATTCATACAATACAATAATTAATAAATACAAAATTTACTCACATATAGAACAAATTAAATTCCTATTGTATAGTGAATCAATCAAAAATGCATTGTCTTCGTCATTTACTAAGGATGGGATTGAATTATTATCTTCATATAAATCCTTTTTTTCTAATAGTTGACCATTAGGTCCTAATACTCCAGTACTTTGGTTTATCATACTTTGTAATTTGGAATTCTAAAGACGAACCCGATTAACAATAATAATATGATTAGAATTAATTAAAACATAAATGTTCATGCATAAACAAATTGTATATGTTTATGAAAATACATTACTGCAACATTTCCTATATACAACTAAGCACGTGATATTATTTATGTAGTTATATACTGGCTTATATAAGAAAAAATAACTTATAATAATAAATAAAAAATAAAAAATATATTTAATTGTGGTTGGATTTAATTTACCTGTTCTTTATTCATGTCGTCAGTTTGATATACAATAGAAACTTCTGATTTATCTACTCCATCCTGGACGACATCATTATTCGAATCCCTTGGATTAAAATTATTACAATTCTTATTAAATTCTGTTTCTTGTATAAAACTATTTTCAAGTAAGTTTTGCTTCTTTTGAAGCATTTCTATTATAGTGGTGAGATCTTTCTTGTTTTCTTCCTTAGGTACTTGACTTCTGAGAATTCTATCATTATTACAAATTTCCTTGACATTTTCTTCTTCTGGTATATGCAAACGTATAAACGAACCATTGGTATATGCCTGGAAATATTGTTAGATAAATCTATTACGATTATAAATATTATTATTTATATATAATCTATTAATACACTAACCTCATCATCATCGGTGAAAATATTTTTATTCAAAGTGATATTAAATTTGTCTTTGCAATATACTCTTTTGTGTGAAATAAAATTGACAAGACTACGAAATAAACTACGACAAACACGACACTCATAAATTATGTCGCACTCATAAGCTAATATTGCTTTAACCTCATCACTACCATTTTCAAGAAGTTTACAAATCTGAGATAATCTTGAAACACTAATATCAATTGGTTTTCTTAATGTCGACAAATCCGGAGAAATAACATTATTAGTTTCTTTTGTACCAAATTTTAATTTACCAAACTTTGCATTATTTTTTTTGTTCTTAGACTTAGCCTTCATCGACTTCATCTTCTGAAAATGATAAATAAATTGAATTATTCAAATAAAACTTTTTCAATGCTATAAAAGTTTATACTCATATTAATATAAAGGAAATATATTACTTTTATTCCAATTGATATGTTCTAAGGGTTTAAAAAAATGAAATAAAAAATACAAAATAAAATTTAATTTTTAAATTAAATGCATAGACAATAAAATATAATCTCATATAAATATTTTATATTTGAGCTGAATATATTTATTTTATATAACAAGATCTAAAAGATAGTATGCAATTTATCTTTAATACTGCAAAACAAGCTGGAACTAACATATGAACTTCTTTTATGCATACTCTTACTCGAATATGTGAAATTATAAATAAAAGTCAACGATAAAGATAATTCATGTGTTTTATGTGTTTTCATGTGTCATGAAAATAATATATTATAATTCATAATATATATAAGTAATTATAAATGCATTATAAAATCAGTTAAATATTACAAATATTAAGTCAATGAGATAATGACGTGCCACGCGTTCCAAAAATATTGTAAATTTTGTCTAATTAAAAAGTTACACATATAATTATAAATAATTGGATATAATATATATATAACTGCAAACAACCAATAATTAAATATAAAGGAAAGTTAAAGAAATATACGAGTGTCTTACTGATATTAAGAAGAAAAGGAATAGCTAATGTGTAGTGTCTCTCCTGCATTTTACAACTAGAAAATCGATTTCCATTGGATGATTTTTATATTGTTTAGTGAAAAAAGTAATAAGTTTACCTGTTTTGAAGACTAACAACCGGCTCCGTGCGAAAATAGCTAAGAAATTATATCTAAATGTGGTCTCACGATCATCAGATTCGATCATCGAATGGCCTCCATTTTTGGTAGAAGTTCTTCTGTTCACCGTTTGGCAAAACTTTGACGAGCAGCACTTTAGTCGTACGTAAGTACAAATCCTAGTAGTTTGGGGTTTTTTTTCTTTTTTCAATGAGGAAAAGAATAAAATATTTTCAATTTTTTCTCATAGAAAAAAATTCAACAAAATGCAATACAGTAGAACGTTTTCATTTATGAAGGTGAGTTATTATTATTATTATTATTATTACGTATTAATTGTACCTCGATTTAGAATTTACCATTTTCACTTAAAAAATTATATTTAAGTATACACTGTACAAGTATTTTTTAATTACATCACATGTCAGTTATATATATAAAGATATATATGTATATATATATATGTATAATATATGTATATATATATGTATATATATTTCTTTGTAAATACGCAAATATTGATATAAATAAATAATTTAATTTAAAAAAACGAATGATTAGTCTATAGTACCTCTACTGATAAACAACAATTCTATACAATGTGGTAATATTAAACTTTGGAAACATGGTTCACTTGTATATGCATTGCATTGGCCAACAACAAAATTTATTCATACAACGACTACTCTTCAAACTTCTGTCGTTGAAAAAATGAAATCAACTACAAGAACAAAAAGGATACTTAAGTGGATAAAAGACAAAGTATATGATATCGAAGTGGATGTAAGTAAAAATTAATTAGTAGCATTAATAGATTTAAATTCTTATCAATTAAATATCTTCCATAAATATTTATAATAATTATGAACTAATAAAGATATATATGATTATTTATTATTAAATAATATTCATATTAATTATTTATTTTATTATTCCTAGAAAACAAAAACGTTGGCTTATTCGGAGTATGAATATATTGTAGATAAAATAGATTATTCTGTATTTTTTAAAGGTATGTTTATATCACCTTTAACCCTTTGAGTGCTATGGACGTTTATATATATTTGTTGGTATGAATGCAAAGAATGCAATGTCGGTTTGTGTATCAATAATTGTTTCAAGTCTTGTTACATGTACATCTTGTCTAAACACTTTGACCAAAAGTATTTTCTAACAAATATCTATGAAAAATCTGTTTTCTGTTAAATAGAGTTTAACATGCCAGACACATTCTATTCGTGGTTCTTAATAACAGAATTACATGTATGGATGTTGATGGTACGCTTTATGGCGGAAGGAAAATATGGTAAAATTGCTAGAAACACTTTAGTAGAAGCGATGTGGGATGATGTAGATGTGAGATCGAAAAAGTTAGGAGTAAGTGTGTATATATTCTATTTATCACTTATATACGTTATTTCAAGACAATTCTTTCTGCAAAGATTTAATTTCTATTACTACTTAGATAAAAAAGAATTTAAATTATTATATCAAAAGTTTTGTTCGATTATTATTTGAATTTTTTATAAAATGTAATTACATAATGTTTATTTAAAATTCATATTCGTTTCTTAGGAAATGAGTTCATCTATTAGAAGAAAACAAATAGAGGACTTATCGCACCAGTTTAATGCTGCTATACTTGCTTATGACGAAGGTATAATGTCTGACGACAAAGTACTGGCATCCGCATTATGGGGAACATTTTTCAATTTAGAATGTAATAATCCAGAGCATATAGAAAAATTAGTAATTTATGTTAGAAAGCAGGTAAATCTTATATTTAAATTATACTACCTAATTTTTTTGGTGTTTGTTTTTACTTATTTAAACATTATTAGATAGTAATTTGAAAAAAATCGTTTTGAAAAATATTTTGAGCCTATATAAATTAAATGATATAATGTTATAATTTTATGTTACAGATTAATTACTTAGATAAAATACCATCACAAAAAATATTAAATCATCCACAGATAAAGTGGTTAGAACTTAAAAAAATAAATATAAGTGATACTTGTTAATAAATAAATATGTAATCAAAAATAATTCGTAGATATTGCATATAATTTTACTCTCTTATTGTTGCAATTTAAATAATATTTTTCCAATTAAATGATTTGTACAGTGGAATGAGCAAAATTTTTATTTCTATTTAAAATAAATAAAACGTTTTTTCGTGTAAGGATAAACAAGCATTAGTAATAAAATCCTGGTAATATTTAAACTATAATATTTAGTGCGGTATAGTAACAATAATATTATTTATATATTCTTCTTTGCACTTTAAATCACAATTCTTTTCCAAAGATGGGGCGGCGTGTTTGAAATAATTCCTAGAAGAAAATCCATTAAATATTAAACACATTGTCAAGTATTGATCATCGTTTGATACTATTTTTTAGACTTACTTATAATATCGATTTAATATATCCTGATTATTTCTCATATCTATGAGCCAATTGTTTAAAGAATTTAATGATAAATCCTTAAGATTATATTCATTCTTAAAAGAATAGGATTTGTACCATTGGGGGAATTTAGTTGGATCTTTATTTGCTTGTGTTATATCATACATCCAATTATCAAAATCTTTAACGTTCTGTAAATGTAAAATAATTAAAAATTAATATTTTAAATTATGCACTTTAATTATCTTATTTTTCTGAATAAGTAAACTTACTAGCGTGTTATTATCAATAATATATAATTTATAATTTGGATTCAAGTTCGAATAAGTTGTAATGCTACCTCCATTCCATGCAACATGACTAGCATTTGTTGCATTCTTATCTTTGTAAATAATTTGTATTTCGTCATTATGTGTATGACCATTGAATTGGGCAGCAATTATATGAGAAAATTTATTAATAATTTTAATATATTCTCTTCTCCATACTTTATGGCAATCTTTTTGACCAGGTGGAATGTGACTTAGAATGTGTACAAGTTCTTGATTTCGTTGAGCTTCTGTAAGAGTTTCTACTAACCATTGTAATTGTCCGTCAGGATCTTGGTGTTGGTATAATAACCACCTAAAATAATTTTTTATATTAATAATGATATTAATAAGATAAAGGAAGAATTTTCTTGTTCTTTTTATTACATACCAGTTATAACAGTAACAAACATTACTGTTAAGAACTATAATTCTAAATCCTTTTCTGGGTGATAATGTATAATATCCTCCTTGTAAGATAGTAGCGCGAGTAGATTCTGGTAACCACCCAAAATTAATCCATATATCTGCCACCAAAGTATACAACCAACGTGTACTTAAAGTGTCATTAGTAATATGTTGTGGTGCAAATCTGAAAAAATTTATCATTTAAATTTTTCTTCTATGATTTTATATTAAATTTAAATATCAATACTATCGAATAACTCACTGATTCAAAGGATGTGATTCATGATTACCAAGTATAGGATAAACCGGTATATCATTAAAATGTTTATAAATCTCAATGTAGCTTTTATTAAGACTTTCTATATTTCCTTGTAATGTTGTTTCCCAAACACCATGATCTATTATATCTCCAGTAAAATAAACATAATTAATATTCTGAAAATACATAATTTTGTAACCAAGATTTATTGCATTTAAGAGCTAAATCAATTTCATTAGAAATTTCTTTATCTGATCATACCTGATGTGTATCTTGGATATGATCTAACGCATTTACTACCGAATGCCATGGAGTATCACAATCATTATAATCTCCCCAAAAACCAGCTAATTTGTTACTAGAATTTGTAATATTCTGTCCTTTACGACAACAAGTAGGTTCTTTACAAAGTGAGTTCCCATTTGGCTCGTATTTTGGATCATAATGAATATCAGTTATTTGTATAATTTTTATTGTTTCATCACTTGCATTCTTTGAAGGAATTTTGTCAATAGTTATATGATCAATAGGAACTGACCATTCATATTTTTCAGTATTAAGAGGGCAAGATTTAGATTCCAAAACAATTCCGCAAATATCGGATGCATTTATATTTGGTTTTAAATCTAATATATAAACAAATATTGGCTACAATAAAAAAATAAATTAAGAAATGCAATTATAAATATTGTTATCTATTTTATAAAATGCAACAAAGTACATAGATACCAAATTTAATTTAACAGCACCACTACAAACTCTTTCGCTTTGAAAATTCAATAATACGCATAATTTAATGACATTCTTCGCAATGTCATCGTCAGACATCCCTTGTTGTCGAAATCTTATAAAAGTTTGAAGAATTGATTTGCATATAGTGCAAATACCCATACTATTTAAACCAGTGAAAGTTCTCCAATCGACAAATTGTAATTCATCTGGTATACTTAAAAGTTGAATTGATTTGTTAAATGATTCTGTTTCTTTCCCCGAGTCTACCCATTTAGTAATTTCTTCTACCATTGATGTAACATCAATATCTTCTATTTCTAATAAGATATCAATAAAGTAAAAAATTGTATTTATTTATATCGTATATAAATAAAATTGAAATAACTATTATATTAAATATTCTATATATAAATCGTTGAGAGAATTTAATATTTTGTTAAAAATCATACACACACACAAAAAATATATCAATCCAAATTTATATTACCTTGTATATCATTATTGGACCCATTTACCAATGATAATATAAAGATTTGTTTCGATCGAGATCGAAAAATTCGTTGAGAGAATTTAATATTTTGTTAAAAATCATACACACACACAAAAAATATATCAATCCAAATTTATATTACCTTGTATATCATTATTGGACCCATTTACCAATGATAATATAAAGAATAAAAATAATACAGCGTTAAAGCGCATATTGATCTGCTTTGAACAGTTAAATTTGTAAGAATATTACAGTATTATTCGTATGATCAGAAAGGATGGTTAATCTTATATAATTAATACCATATTGACTTATCACCCCTACTTTTCGATAATCATATAAGTGGCTAATACTGATATGTGACGAAAGAATTTTTTCTATATATGAATTACACTACTATATAGTTTAATCTTCCTACTTATATCTAAAAAAGCTTATCCTACTTGAAATGATATCAACATATCAAAATAGTTTTTAACATTATTTGAATTTACATACAAAAATGTTTTCATCAAATTTAAGATTAACACTATTTTATTTTACATAAACATAAAACAATACATCTTTTCCTTTATTTATCTATTTGGAATTCTGATATATCATCATTCATCATCATCAATAACAAGATCATCAAGCATTTCTTCAAGTGTTATTTGTGGAATACTAGGATCGATTTCATCAGTATCAACAGGTATTTGTTTTTTAGAATCTCTGAAGATATTAATATTTTGTCGCATTTCTGGATCCTCCTCCAATTCATCCAAGAAATCGTTGTATTCACTGAAACAATGAAAAATTATATTTAAATATATCTTTATAAATATACTCGCGTATATTTAAATATTCATTATAAAAATAACATACTTATTGTCTGTATTCATGCTAACAATGTCATCAGCAATGTGTTTTAATTTCCACATTCTGGCTCTACGACGTGCAGCTTTATCAACGCCATAATATTTTTTTACTAGGATAACATCAGGAACTGTATCTCCATTCAATTTTTCAAAATTATCATCATTAATATTGCTATTGCCAAGGGCATATCTGATATAAAAATATAAATTAATATTCCGCCTTTGTAGAGCAGTAAATTATCTGTAATTATAGAAGAAAAATTTACCCCAGTACTGAATCCCCTGGCTTAAGTATATGACCTAAGTGAGTGCGAGAATGAACTGGATTCTCGACTATTCCTAATTCTGCAGCTTTGACTAACCAGACATCGGCTATAACATGCTGATATAAAAAATATATAAATAATTTTTTAATGCGTTCAGTAATTAATTGAATTGATTTATTATGTAAAAGTAATATTTATGAAATAAATTTGTATATACCTTGGTTGAAATACTTCCTTGACCAGGGAAAATTTTCTTATGTTTATCTTTTACAATATCTATATCCATTACTATGTACTCGATCAACTGATTTGGGTTGCAAATACAATTAAAAGGATATCTCCAAAATGCCGTAGAACTTACTTCTGCAACTGAAGACACAAATATTTATGTTATTAAATTACTTACATTAGGATTTGTATTAAAACTGTACATATTTAGTGAACAAAAAAGTAATTTTTCTAGAACATACTTTGTCCCGATGAAACATCTATGAGATGTATGGAATTTGTCATTCTATAAACAAGACAAATTGAACTCAATCCTCCTAGTTGATGCGTTAATCTTTTTGGTAAACATACTACACTATCTTTAGAAATTGGTACAATTTCCACACTGAAAAAGGATTATTAATGATAAATTTCATACATACTTGTTATGAGAGAAAGATAATAATGTATATAAATAGACCTGTATGTAAATTTATAATTATAAATATTGCTATGTATATCATGTGAAATCAGTTTTTTAGAATGTTGATAACGACAAGGTATAACTGATACTAGAAAATCAACCATTTTCCTAGCAGCTGCTTCATTAGAATAAAAGAAATCTAGACCCTCTGAAATAATAATATAAATTTACATTAATATTCATTCTATTGATATATATATAGTTTGTTATTTAGAAAATAATTTATCATCTATCAAATAGAAAAAATGATTTTTCAATTACCATGAATAGGTTTTATGCCCACAGTTTGTTCATGAGCTTTATGCTTCAATATTAATTGTTCTAAGTAATAAAATGTCCTTTTATTTATAGCCTTCTGTCTTACTTGTACCTTAATAAAATGAATTTGTTCTAATTAATTTGTATTAATTTATAAATAATAAACTATTTATTTTATTATATAGTTATTATATAATACTGAATTTTTTTCAACGATATATCTGGCAATACTTACAGATGCACGCCAATAATCTTTTGCTTCTGTACGATGACAATCATCGCACATTTGAAGATTAATAATATAATCGACAACAAATACTTGTTGCAAAACAGTTCCTCCAATTACTTCTGCGTGTACCGTTAACTTAACCTGAAAAGTTCATACATTTAACAAAAAATGAATATCAAATTTTTAATTTATATTAAAAAATTGACTAGAAAAATTACTTTTAATCTCTTGGAATGTGGTTCGGTCCAAATAAAACCAGCATCTACCAGCTTTACACGATGCAATCCTTTCAATTTTTTTAAACATAATTGTAGCAATTCTCTGGATTCTAACGCAGCATGTATCCAATCCATGGGTGGTTGTAAGTATCTATGCCAAGATATATATACAAGCTTACAAATGTTAAGTATACTTACAAAATATGCCATTAAAAATTAAAGATATATACCTTTCGCATCCTTTGCAAAACTGAAGAGTTACCTGTTTAGGTATACCTTCAGTAATATCAACTTTTAAACGTAAACATGATACACACATGTTAGCAGGGTTTGGTTCAATTTGAGCACCACATTCACAACATAAACTATAAAATGGATTTATTATTAAATTGTCTTTAAATTCTAAAGTAAAAAATTATATATACTTACATCATAGTTTTATTTTGTGTTGGCATATCAAAGTTCTCAATATACTCCATTTTGCAATATTAATTTACAAATTAGTTTACAAATCTATGATTTTTTAAGGTTTAAAAGTAAATTGAATATAATTTAACGTAATCTTGCTCAACCCTGTTTTTCCACCACGTGTTAAATCCAATTCGTAAAATTTCAATGCTTTCATCTGAAAGAGAAATTTACCAACTCCACGATAGAGGACTATAGTGACGCCGTGAATTTAATGGCCTTTACATTGTGTAGTTAGAAAGTGGCGTCAGTAGTTCTAGTTGATTGTGAGGTCAAAAGTTTTAGATTAAAAAATAAAAATGTCAGAAGACGGAGCGGATATGGATATTGATAATCAAAGCGAAGACGGAGAAATTAAAAAAAGTCCATCAAAAGATATGGATGATTTCAGGTAATACAAATCTTAAACAAGAGAATGAGGTTATGTTGCTTGTCTTATAGTCTTGCATGCTTACATTAGATATATCACATGAGAATTACGTTTTACTTTTTTGAGCATGTTTTATAAAAAAAATATGTATACATATATATATTTATACATATAACATTTCTTGATTTTTGGTTTTTTTTTAGACATATACACAAATGGTAATATTTAATTTATTAAAATTAAAGTGTGGATTCAATAATATTAACTACATATTAATTATTACTTTGGTGCAGAAGTATTGCGAATAGTCTGTTTTTTTTTTTTTTTTACAAAATTTATTACATATTTTGTATTTTTTTGGATGCAGTTGAGTAATTTTATTTAAAAAAATAGCAACTTAAATTATTTATTTTATTTCGAATGGTATCATGTACATGAAAAATATGATTTTGCTATATTAGATTATTTTATGAACACTCATGTAACGATAAATAAGATATCGAACGAAAATATATATTTTCTTAATTAATAACAACAACAAAATAGCAATAAAAAATATGACAAACTTTTTCATATTTTTGATAATTTATTACTAGTTGATACTGTAAGTTCAAAGTTTATCCAATGGCGTCGCTGCAGTTTAGCTAGTTAGAGTAATCAATCGGTAAAGACGCACGTAATACATGCAATTAATAAAAATGCATTATATTTCTATGAAAAAAAGGAATTAAATTATGTTTTATCATTAGTGATAAAATTTAGGAGAATTTCTTGTATATTTTAGAGATATTAATGTTTTTAATAAGTTACGTACGGTTTTTGATAAGGATGACCGAAAAGTGTGTTAAGTGAAAACGTATTACATTATATATGTATGTATGTAAGTACTTACATACATAATGCCGAGGAATGCTCATGCTACCGAGATTTTATAGGTATTGCATTACGAAATATCGAATTTACATAAAATACAGTTAATATAGCTAATTTAATTGCTATTTACAATATTCTAGTTTTTTTTGTTTATAATTTATATTATTTTTATTTCATTGTCAATTTTCATATAACATATCCAAATTAATATTTTATTAATTATATTAAATAATTCAATAAATAATTAATATGTATTAACTTATTAAAATCAAATAAATGTTTTCAGTTTTTCAGAAGAAGATGGCGGAGATACAGCTGATTCCTTAGATATAAAACCACCACAAGCTGTAATCCGACATAGAAAATCAGGATCTTCTCACAGAAGAGAGAAACACAATGAAAGAAGAGATCGTCGTGAGGAAAAAGAACGCAAGTCACGTCACCATGACCGTGGCGAAGATAGACATAGAGACAAACATAGACACCGTAGACATGGTATGGACCCATTGGAGAGATCAGAAAGATCAGAAGGTTCTAAAAGAGAAAGAGAAAGAATGGAACGATTAGAGAGAATGGAAAGTCATTCTAGGGATAGGGAATCGAGGCATGAACGAAAGGAACGTTCTACCGGTGATAGAGTATTAGAAGATTTAAGAGAAAGGTAAATATCTCTTTTTGTTTTTAATTTATACATCTTATGTCTTATATATCTCATTGTTTTTACATAATATAAATTTTATCTTATTTTGTTTAATTAAAAGATTATTGGATAAGAGAAGAGAAAGAAGAGAAGATCCTCGAGAATTACGTGAATATAAGATTGAATCACGACGTGAAATACGTTTGGATGATCCTCGTGAAATTCGTGATTCTCGAGATCGCAGAGAAGTACGAATAGAAGAAATACGTGAACGTCGTGATATGCGAACTATCGATGATGGAAGTGGTAATAGTCGTCGTGATATTCGAATGGAAGACCGTAGACAAATTCGTGTTTTAGAAGACCAATATTCTGAAACCGATTTAATGGAAAGAACTGAGAGGAGTGAGAAGCGACACAAAAGATCTCATAAACATGATAGATTCCGTGACAGAGAAAGAGAAAAAGTTGAACGAGAGAAAGAACATAGAGAGAAACAATTACGAGAAGCTATGGAAATTGTTAGTACAGAAGAAGTAGACGAAATGGAGATCAATGAAATACAAATTCATCCAAAAGAACCAAAAGAAATGACTGAGCAAGAGCTTAGAAAAGAAAGGTGATTAATTAAACTTTTATTATAATTTCTTTCTTCTGTTTTTTTTTTCTTATAATATTAATGAGTTATTTATAATGTTTCAGATTATTAGAAGCTGATAGAGAAATGGCTAGAAGAAAAGAAGTATCTCGTCTAGAATTAGAAGCTAGACGATTGAAACGAGGTGAAAAGCGACCGTTAAGTCCTGATACTGATCAAGACCCATCTATCGTTGAATTATCTGACGAAAGCCCTAGTCCAACACAATCCGATGAGGGTCGTTCTAAATCAGTCGAGTAAGTTTATATTATAAATGTGAAAAATATTCTATCAAAAATTATACAAATAATTTGGCTGTTTGATTTATTTATTTTATTTTATTTTTTTTTTTAGATCAAGGCATTCTTCGGATGGGCAAAGAAGTATACACGAGAGATCATCAGACAGACATTCTTCTGATTCTTCGGATTCTAGTAGCGAAGAGGAAGATGATTCAAACGAATCAAATAAAGGTTCTAATGGTGATTCTAACAATGAATCTGATTATAATAACCCGAGTCCGTTGTCTGTAGAACGGTTAGCAAAATCTGATCATTCAGATGGAGATTCACCTGGTCATGTTGATCCGAATGGTACTGTCAAAAATACAGAAGAACAAGAGGAAGAAGAGGAAAAGAAAAATGAGGAGCCTGAATTACCCCCATATTTACCAGCTATTCAAGGTTTGATACATATTTATTATTTTATTTTTAAAAAATAAAGTAATTTCATGTTACGTGTCATATAAAAAAAAAATAATTTTTAGGTTGTAGAAGCGTTGAGGAATTTCAATGTTTAAATCGTATAGAGGAAGGTACTTATGGTGTTGTATACAGAGCTCGCGACAAACGAACTGAGGAAATCGTTGCATTGAAAAGATTAAAAATGGAGAAAGAAAAGGAAGGATTTCCTATTACTAGTTTAAGAGAAATTAATACTTTATTGAAGGCACAACATCCTAATATTGTAACTGTACGAGAAATAGTTGTTGGTAGTAACATGGATAAAATATTTATAGTTATGGATTACGTGGAGCATGATTTAAAATCATTAATAGAGACAATAAAGCAGAAAAAACAAGCTTTCATTCCTGGTAAGATTTGATTTATTTTTTAAAAGTGTATTTATTATATACATAAGTATGACAAATAAAATTTGTGTTGTTTCAGGCGAGGTTAAATGTCTTATGCAACAATTATTACGTGCTGTAGCTCACTTGCACGATAATTGGATTCTTCATCGCGATTTAAAAACATCAAATTTATTACTAAGTCATCGAGGTGTTTTAAAAGTTGGCGATTTTGGTTTAGCTCGTGAATATGGATCTCCGTTGCGACAATACACACCAGTTGTAGTTACACTTTGGTACAGAGCACCAGAATTATTGTTAGGTGGCAACGAGTACAGCACTCCTATTGATATGTGGTCCGTAGGGTATGTAGCACATTAAAAATAATATTTATATAATTAAATGTTAATAAATAAATATTATCAATAAAGCGTGAAAAGTTTAATTATATTAAAATATTTTTTTCAGATGTATTTTTGCAGAATTATTAAGAATGGAAGCACTCTTTCCAGGAAAATCAGAAATTGATCAATTAAACAGAATATTTAAAGAATTAGGTACACCAAGTGATCGTATTTGGCCAGGATACAGTAAATTACCAATGGTTCAAAAAATTCCATTCGCTCACTATCCTGTTAATAATTTAAGACAGAGATTTAGCTTATCTCTTTCGGATTTAGGCGTTGAATTATTGAACAAGTAATTAACATTGAACATATACTTTTCTTTTTAAATAAAATTAAATAGCATCCATACATGCTTGTAATCATTAATCTTAATTATTGAATATTTTTCAGATTTTTAACATACGATCCACAACAAAGAATAACTGCCGATGATGCCTTGAAACATTCATACTTTACGGAAGCACCCTTACCAATTGCTCCAGAAATGTTTCCTACCTGGCCTGCCAAATCCGAATTAGGACAAAGAACGGCCAATGCATCTCCTAAACCACCTAGTGGTGGAAAAGAATACAAACAATTAGGAGACGGCGATGATGCTGATCTAAGTAATTCAGGTTTTCATATGGGATTGATGGATGGCGGAAGACACCCCCCTGTTGGAGGTGGTTTTCACTTGAAGTTTTAACAATTGTAACAAATATTTTGTTAATATAAAAATAAATACATATATATGTATATATATAAATAAATTCACCTATGTGATATCAAAATACAATTTATAAAAAAAGGCATTGGATGTTTGTGAACTTTATAAATGAGTAATTATTGTGTAATTAAATGATCGATAAAGTTATTTATACTAACTTGTAGTATTAATTATTTATTGTGCAGTATTTCACACAATGGACAACATTGAATTTATATATATTCGTGGTCAATAATTAAAAATTATTATTCTTATATAAATACCCAACAACATAGCTGTTTATATGCATTTAAGGCTTCTATTTATTATAAGGTAACTTTCATTTACAATATATAATTATAAAACGTGTCATATTATATATATTTTTTTATTAATTCTTTATTTACTATAATCTTATGTGACATTAATTACATGAGTAAAATATGTAAAATGTAACATATAAGAAGTTTCTCATATTTTTACTGGATTAAGAAGATACTAATATAGATTTGCTTATGATCACAAAAATAGCTGTAGTATATTTATAATCAAGAACCTGCTTTGTTTGAATTATTCTCATCCTAATTAGAAAACATTATTTTAATAGTATATTTTTCGAAGGAAGAAGAGGAAATATAATAAAATTAATAAACATACAAAAAAAAACAATATTAAATTTAACAAAATCTAAAATTATTTGTTCATTTATTTATTTACTTTTTCTAATCTATATTCATATAACTTAATTACATAATAGAAATAAAATAGATAAAAATTTGGTGTTATTACATCTTCGATTTTCATTGTGTGTTAATTAATAACAAAGCACTCTTTATAATCGCAATTAAAACTTATTAATAGCTAGTACATATTTTTGTAAGTAATTATCCATGTCATAAATATTTCATTTTCCAGCATTGTTCATATTTTTCGGAAGACCAAGTAAAGTATTGATAATCTCGGAGTTACGTTTTGGATAGCAAAGACGAGGCGACGCCATTAACAGTCTAGCAAGTTGTAATTCATTGTCCTATTAGAAAGTAAATTTTAAATGTTAAGTAATCGAAAACTTATACATTTTATAATTCATTTCTATTAATTCATAAATTATATTGATAAACTGTTCCTTAATAATTTCAATTCTGTTTACATAAAACTAATATCACGCTATCATAAACAATGATTAGACAATATAATGTAATTAATTAATTTAATGAAAAAAAATGTTACCAATCCTCTTCCGTAAGGAAGATTCATCGAATAAATGTTTCTCTCTCCATCATCCATGGTGGCAAACACCTGAGAGATGATTCCAAGCACCATTGTGAAGATATATAAGAACTTCATTTTGATTTTAATATAGATCCTTTTACTGAAAATAGTGAAAATTTGTACATCCACATACACAAGAAAAACGAAGATTCTTTATTTCAAATTTGTATTTTTTTGTTTAAACACTATATTTATACGAATTACACAAAATTTAACTAGAAATCCAGGTAATTTTAAACGTATCAAACTTGCTTATGTTAGTTAAATGCGACCTAAAATGTTATTTTATTTTTGAAGTTACATTAATGTATATTAATTTATAAATTAGAAAATTAATACCAATATTAAAACTGATCCTTACCCTTTATTACGTTTGTAGAAATTTCGAATTTCTATCACTAACTTCAAGTATATTGTCGAAGGAATAAGAAGGCAATGTTATCGGTCCTCGGAAAAGACGCTTCTTTTATACCAAACTGATTAGTTCAAGGAACATTGAATTTTCTCTGTTTGTGACAGCCGTTTGCTTTCTGTTGCAGACAAGTTTTCTGTTTCTGAAAGAAGAATATATTTTTTTACGTAAACGCTTTATAGCGTTTCTAATACTTTTTTTTTTCGAAAATTAAATAATTCCATAAAAATAGATTTACTATTCCGATGAAGTAATTAAATTAATTTATTCAATGATTTAAAACAGATGTACGATTTCTTAATTGGTAGAAAAATGAAACATGTATAAGAAGATAAAAAAAAGTAACAAAAATCTGTTAATGTTTAGATTTTTATCAATATCTTAATACTATTAATAGTTTGAAGCTGACTAACGTTCATTTATAACATTTAATTTTATTAATTACTTAACGAAAACGATTAATGACCTAATTATATATTTTTACGAGTGTATTAAAATCTTTTAATGACGGTATTTCTTTTTCAATTACTTATTAGATTTCATTAGTAATATGTGTATGTGTATGGATAAAACATATAGACAGAAGATGCATGATTGATAAGTAAGCAGGAGTAAAGACCCTTTGTGTTTGATGTCAACGTTCTTCTTTTCGAAAGAAGATATACTGTGGAATATATTAAAAAAACAAAACATGAAATAAGAATGAGAAATAAAATGGAAAAAAAAGAAAACAAAAAATAATAGAAGAATTCATTCGCCATTAGAGAGCCCACATGTGATATAGAAAACCCGAAATGAGAGTTGCGGGCCCGGGTCACTAACCCACCAACCAGAAAAGTTGCTTAGTTCGATATACTGTCCTTGAACAGTTCTTAAAACCCTCCAAAATGGAAGTGGAAGATATGATATGATCACAGGAAGGATTAGATCTTTGCCACGTCGAAATATCGCGAATATATTTCATCAATACTCTTTTGTTAGATTTCATTCTAAAATTTTGGAAATATTTCTTTTTCTATTTTTGTTTTGTTTTGTTGTTTCGTAAGAAAGAACGAATACAGTGAAAACTACTTTTCTCCAAGAATCATTTATACCATTCATTACAGAGAATTTTCTAATGAGTCGATTTTTCAAACATCCCGTAACATATTGTAACATATCGATCTTTTAACTTTTTTCTTTTTCCTTCTTTTTTCGCTTTCATTTTTTTTATCTTTTCATTTACATATCATTAGACAAAAATGGAGAAATACCTTTTAAGAAAAATCGAAGTGCTTAGTTTACAAGAGAATAGAAAAACAGAAAGATTTTTTATATGTCAAATCTATTGCCGAAATCTCCAATCTATTATACAATTAAAATAATTTAAATTACGTATTAGTATTCGTCCTTGTATTAATAGCATTCTCTTGTTCTCGTGTTCAAAAAAATTGAAAGATAATCTTTGGACAGATAGTATACTAAAATAAGTTAATGGATCGTATTACTAATGTTTCATAATAAAATGCGACACCACAAAAAGCAAAGTGGATTTTAGTAACGGAGGTCACTGATCTTGATGCATATTAATTCGTGATCCACAGATCGTTACACGCATATAATTTTGTAACTCTTTTAAATACGAATGAAGTAAACTTACCAACCATGAATAACAAATTTATTTTAACATTTTTTTCTAGAAAATATAAAAATAGATTTTATTTTATTACAAATATGTGCGTACTTATTGTTATTACAAATTTATTTATAATTTATTGTTATAAATATATTTTATAGTTGTTGTTCAAGTATTGCCATATTTATTTGATTTTCAATAGGTTCGAATAATTAAGTTTTTTATTTGATTTAAAAAAAAAAAATATAATAAGAATAATTTGCAAGGAATCTAATACAGATTCGTTCGAGATAAATCTGACAGTATTTTCAACGATATATAAAACGAGAAGATAACAGGACCATTTCAACAGCCCCTCATGCATTCTCACGCTATTAATAACCTTATGCAGTTTTCTGGTTTCGGTGAAAATTGACTCTGGTTTGTTTGGCTGCGTGTTGCAAGTTCAAGGGAATTCGTTGACATTCTTTCAAATATTTTATTTTTTTTACAGAAAAAGACTCGTTATTACCTGGACTGAACGAAATCTATTACCTTTCTTAGTTTGTATTAGGTCGACAAAAATGAAAAGAGAAAAAACTCACTACAACATTTGCATACGAAAGAGAGAACCGAATAATGATCTGTTAATAAACAAAAAAAAAGGGAGAAAAAGTCAGTAGTAACTTTAATCCTCATCCCAATTTACCTATAACTTTTAATTTGAATGAAATTTTATTTAACGTATTTCTTTCTAATATAATCAATTATATAAATATTCAGGTAACTATAAAAGAAGAATATAAAAACTGAAATATCAAGAAGAGAACTTTTTATTCCATACCATAAAACACAATCCAGTTCTCTTAAAAATCTTTTTAAAAATTAAAGAATCAGATAAGGAAGAATGATTCGTCAACAACTAATTCCCTCCTTTCAACCCCAAGATATTATATTACAAGAGTTATAGTCTTTTTCATTGTTTATCCTGTCATTGATCAACTTCATCATGATATCCTCCTCGTACTTTCATCAGTTTTAGATGTTTTCCCGACACACCCTCTAAATAACATATTTATCGAATGGATCTAATATTCCATAAGAGAAAGTCCCATGGTAGTCATTTCTTCGAAGTGAGACAACACCTCCAAGTTAAACAAGCAAATTCCAAATGGACTTCTCGCACCCCTTTGGGCTTGCGAGGAAGTAGCTTGGTGTCGTTGCCTCGCACCAATGGTCTCTGACTCTACACGATCACGTTCCCGTGGTCAAGGACACAGCAAAGAAGCAATGGACAGAAAGAAAGAAAAAGAGAGAGCAAGAGAGAACAAGAAAGAGAGAGCAAGGAAAGAGCAAGAGAAAGAGAACATGAGAGAGAGGGTGCGGGTTGAGGGGCTATCGATGCCGTAGGTATATATGGTCGTTCTCTCGCGTTCGGAATACCAGATTCGTACGTCCAGATTAGTCCTCTTCATCGAGGTCTCTGTGTTGTGTATACCTTTTAAAATTCATCGCAAACAACTCTAACAACGGACATCGAAGAAGAAGAAGAGGAAGAGACCGATCACTTTCAGTGATTCTTTTGATCAGTGCTGTCGAACCGACGATTGTCAACTACCGTCGGGTAGATTCGAACCATTGCAGTCTTAACATTGTAAGGGTTGATCGGCAGGATCAACAAAGCTGAGCAGATCGACGTTTATCGGAGAGTGACTTTTCAAAGTCAGACTCCCGTATGTAATTCTACATAAATTTGATATTTTTGAAAGAATATGATATTTAAAACAATATTTCAATTGGTTTTTTTTTTATATAATAGATAATTTGAAATCTAAGAGTTCATTTTGGTATCTAATCATACGTACTACCTTTTTATTTGTGTCTAATAATCAAATACTATTTAGGACAAGTACATAATATTATCGCATTGACAGGTTCTATTGATAAGACTTTTTTTTTATTGATGATCGTAATATATCTATGTTCTTTTTTAATGCATCATTTTTCGTTAATTTTTTATTTTATTTTTGAGAGCAATGCATCATTCATAACGATTACTTCAAATTTTTGCATGCCATTTTCGTTTTTTTTCTCTTTATTTTTCTATTCTTCTTCTTCCCTTTTAAATGAATATTTAAGGTTTATTATTAAACTGTTAGCATTGAGATAAATGTTAATTTCCATACAAGGAATCTTGACATTGATAAAATGAAAGAAAAGATGCGACTTGCATTATGCCAGAATTCTTATTCGCGCATACGGCCTTGCATTAACATCGTACAATAGATCGGTAAGAGATTTACTTATACTTGAAAGCCTATCGTGACGAGCAAATAAATTTCGTTCATTTTAAGTTTAAAAAAAAACCAGAAAAAGAAAACGAAAAGAAAAGAAAAAGAAATCAAAAATAACACAGAATCACATTTTTGTCAACATACGTACGATGTTTCAGGAAATTTTATTATGTAAAAGAAATATACTTTATCGATCGTAACAAAGAAAGCAAAGAAAAAAAAAGTCAGAATTTTAAGTATGTCATCTAATCGGATTATCAGTTTAAGCTGCATTAATAATAATATTCATAAATATTCATGACTGTGAAATCAGAACAACGTTATAATTGATTGAATTATACAGTTATCCTGGATAACATGGTGATATAAATAAGCGATCATAAATTTCAAGCACAAATCATCGATCAAACTTCGTATAACAATCATAAAGTAAGGAGAGATTTGATTTCCGATCTTAACCGATCATCGTGCTCAACTTATTCCAAGTAGTGATATCGGTCAATGTAATTACCATGGTCATTCCTCATCAAGGTCAATGAAAGAAGACACTATATTTTATATTCCAAATACATAATCGTGATACATACACCAAAGTTACAATGAATCACAATGATGAATAAGACTGTATGAATTTGATTACCCCGTCTTTCATCACGATTACTTATTCATAAACATTAGAAGGAAACAGACAGGATTTATGAATTATTTTAGATCATTTATTATTTATAACATTTATATATGTTAATTGTTTGAATTACTATATTATCCAATAACCACTTACAACCCCTGTTCGTTTACTCTTATATTAATCCCAATGATAAATAAAAAAATTACGACAAACAAGGTACAAGAAACTGTAAACAAAACATTTTCGTGGCCTTAGATCGAACCCGATCACCGGTTTCCCATTACTAGAGGGATCTTTTATTTATTTCTTTCTTGTTTTCTTGTATCTCGAAAGGAAGACAGGTTTGGCTGGCATCGAGAATGCACGCATCCACATTTATAACTAGCTTTTTGCATGCCTGTTATTTTTCAATTCGCACTTATTTTCTGCTCGCTCGACTGGTTATACTACCATTTGATGATGTCTTCAATACAAATTGATCGAAATAAAGAAAATTAATTTTAGGATACGATATGCTGATTGGAATCGTTTTATTGCTGATCGGCTTCTCTTACGCGGGACCATTAAACGATGCACCAGCGCGAGAAATTTTACCACCACTACCATGGAAATCTTCAGTTACTCAAGACAATTCTAAATTCGTGAATGAACTTGGATTTCAACGTGGTGCTGTTGAAAGTCCACCAAGATCATTGTCCATCGAATTTGATCGTCTTCGAGAACCAATCAAAGAAAATGCTGAATTTGGATCAAAAAGAATTCCACTTCGCGACGCTGTCGAAGCTTTACCTTCGAGTACTCTTAAACTTTGTAGAGGTACCAAGAAAGAAGGATGTTTTGCAAGGTCCGATTGCTAAATTTAAATTTATTATTTTTGATGATTTTTTTTTCATCATAAATTTTATTTCAGAATCGTGGATGAAAGAGTACCACTAAGGGATGCTGTTGAACATCGAGAGGCACCCTTCTTTGGGGGTATAGAACACGAATCTATTTGGATTGAACCACTTGCACCACCTACTTTAGGTAGAATTCAACGAATTGGCGATCCTAAGGTTGTCTGCCGTTTTGATTCTAGAGCAACTTATAGAATGGAACCTTTCTCTTTATTATCTGGATCTTTACCGGATTACAAATGTACTCATTTGATATATGCCGGAGCTAATTTGGGTAAATAAAAATATTAATAATAAAATGCGAATGATAGAGATGGAATTTTACTTTTTGTTTATTGAACTTTGACTTTTTATTGTAGACTCAAATTTCAAAGTGGTACCTTGGAATTATGAATACGATGAAATTAAAGGTAAATCGACATAAGTCTTCACAGAAAACATTCGAAAAAATTGTTAGATCCTCTAAGTTAATTAATTATTATTTAATTGACAGGTGGTTACAAGACAGCTGTAAATCTTCGTTCGAGAGATCCAGCATTACGTATTCTGATCTCGATCACGCTTCCCAGCGAAAGATTTAAGTCTAGTAAATTGAACGAAGCTGATTACGAGAAAATTTCTCAATCAATACTGAATTTCATTAATCAACATGATTTGGATGGTGTTCTTATAAATTGGCAAATGGAAGATACCTGGCAAACAAATGCTATGACAGATCTAAAGATTCTTTCCAAAATTCTTAAAAAACATTTAGTTGAAGAAGGATTAACTTTAGCTATTGCTCTCCGTGCTGAAGATCGTGTCCATCGAGAGACCATTTCGAATTTTGATTTAGTCATACTGAAAGCTTGGCGAGAGGATCTTCATTTAAGAAAAGAAAAATATGCTCTTCATCCTGCGCCACTTAAATTCGTCATTCATGCTGTTGAAAAATGGTTTGAACGTGCTGGCATGGAACAAGCATCAAAAACTGTATTAGGCTTACCAATTTTCGGTGATGGATATACACTTAAATTTGGAAACTTCACTGATGCTGGTGCTCCAATTTTAGGGCCTGGATTACCTGGTCCATATACTGGAACACGTAATGGAAGACTTGCTTATTATGAGGTGAGTTATCTTTCTTCTTTAAAAATCATATACTTTATTTATACAAATTAATATTTGTAATTAGATATGCGAACGATTGGAAGAAGGTTCATGGATATCTGGAAGAGATGAGGATGGTCCATATATAAAACGTGGAGATCAATGGATCGGATACGATGATCCTATCTCGTTGAAATTAAAAACAGCTTATGTTAAATCTAGTGGACTTGCTGGTATTTCTTTGTGGTCTTTAGATTTGGATGATTTTCAGGTAATTACGATTACCCTAAATATAAATAAATTTAATAAAAAATCCCATTAACATATTTTTTGATATTACATGAATTATACAGGGTATTTGTGGTAATCCATGGCCAATGTTGAATACTGCAACGAATGCATTAGGACTTTATGAAAGCACATACATCAAAAAATGTTCTAAAGAAAGCCTCTTCGCTGATCCAGACAACTGTTCTGGATTTTACTCCTGCGTTAAAGGTACCGATTAATTTATTCGATGGAAAAAGTAATTATCTGACAATTTTATTTTATCCTTTATAAGGTAAAATGTATCATGGTTATTGTGGTCCCAAACGGCTGTTCGATCCTGTAAAAGGACGTTGCATTAAAACCGATCCAGATATTTGTAAACCTGGATATTCTGATACAATTGTTTTACACGAAGCGGAATTTCTCGTTAATAAAAATGAAACGAAGAAAGACAATTATGTAGAAGAGTTGACAGAAAAAGGTCCACGTGTTGTTTGTTACGTCACTTCGTGGGCTATTTATCGAAAATCCGATGGAAAATTTATACCAGAACGTTTGGATTCTAATTTATGTACAGACATTATTTATGCATTCGCCAGTTTGAATCCAGAGACTTTGTTGATACAGGCTTTTGATCCTTGGGCTGATTTAGACAATGGTCAGTTCTATCATTAATTTTTTTACATAAATTATTATGCAATCAAATAACAGTTTTTTAATAATTTTTTCTTTTCTTAGGCTTATACGAACGAGTAACGTCAATTAAAGGAGCCAGAGTACTATTGGCTCTGGGTGGTTGGACCGACAGTTCTGGTGATAAATATTCTAGATTAATAAGCAGTGGTGTATCTCGTAGAAAATTCATCTCAGCTACGATTAATTTCTTGAAGAAACACAATTTCGATGGTTTATCACTTGAATGGAATTATCCGAAATGTTGGCAGAGCGATTGCAGGAAAGGTCCTGATTCTGACAAGCCTAACTTTACGAAACTCCTTCAAGAATTAAGAAAGGAATTCGATAAACAAACACCTAGACTCGCGTTAGCAGTAGCTTTGTCAGGATACAAGGAAGTTATTGATCAAGCTTATGAAGTTGCTGAAATTTTACGTGAAGTTGATTTTGCTTCAGTAATGACGTATGATTATCATGGTGCTTGGGAATCTAAAACTGGTCATTTAGCACCTTTATATGGAACAAATAACGATGGCCGGCGATATTACAACGTTGTAAGAAAACGTTTATTTAAATTTGATAAATTATTATTACATTACATTCCGATAGGTAAAGGGTTCAAATATATTTTCAGAATTTTACAATGGAATATCTCGTGAGTCTTGGAGCGAATAAATCAAAACTATTAATAGGTATACCATTATATGGTCAAGCTTATCATCTCTCAGATCCTCATCGAACGGAACTTGGTGATCCTGCAACCGGTCCTGGTTTACCTGGAGAATTTACTAAGCAACCAGGAATGTTAGCTTATTACGAAATATGTGATAGAATAAAAAGGCAAGATTGGACTGTAGGATCAGGTAAAAGTCAATATTCAGATTTGATTAATCGTCTTTATTATTATATTTTGTGTTTCTCTATTTTACTTCAATTATTTCAGGACCAAGTGCTTATCACAAAGACCAATGGGTAGGCTACGAAAATCAAAAGAGCGTATTTCGAAAGGGTCAATATATAATACAAAATAATTATGGAGGAGCATCAATGTGGACTGTCGATTTGGACGATTTCTTAAATCGTTGCTGCATGGAAAATTTCCCGCTTCTTAAAGCTATAAATCGTGCATTAGGTCAGCGATAAGATCATTTGTTAAAACTATTTTTTATTAAAGAAGTAAAGTTTTTTCATTGTTTCAATAATAGGTCGTTCTCGTACGCCGGTACCAGACGAAATGAAAGAAAATTGTCAACGACCGGAAGAACCTGTGACACCGCCAGAACCAACGATGACAAGTCATAGCGATGCTGTCGAGGATGGACCAGTTTCAACAAAACCAATGTCAACATTAACGACTAAAATTACTACATGGCCAACATGGACGGAAAAACCAAGTACAACGACACAATCCAGTTGGACTCAGAAGCCAACATCAACGCTAACGACTAAAGGCACTACATGGCCAACATGGACGGAAAAACCAAGTACAACGACTCAATCCAGTTGGACTCAGAAACCTACACCATCATCGAGTGATCACCACCATCACCATCATGAAACATCCACAATGCTCACGTCAACAATAACATGGTAGGATTGATTAAGATTCAGCAAGAGTTTTTATAATTTTTTATTTTATTATTCTGTATTATCTATTTGTTTTCAGGGGTCCAAGTTATTTACCACCCGCTACTACTGTCTCTAGTACAACAGAGAATATATCAATACCTCCTGTATCCTGCATCGAAGGTCAATATACTTCTGATCCTTTTGATTGCGGTAGTTATTATCGATGTGTTCTTAAAGAGTTAAAACGAGAACGTTGCGCACCTGGATTACATTGGGACAAGTCACGCAATATATGCGACTGGCCATCTATTTCGAAATGTCAAACTGATATCAGTAAGTTTTCTATTTTCATAATCCTTATCACATACTTATGATAGCACTTTAGTTACATGTTAAACCAAAATTATCAACACTAAACCAATTATTATTCTAAAAACATGATTGGTAGCTTTCTAAACTAAACTGTAAATCCATTACTATCAATCTTCTCTCTACTAACATAAAATGACGCAACTTTTCAATGGACCATCCATTCGCAAGGATTTCTCTCATCCGTTAACATATGCTAGTACATTTCACAAACCTGTTTGCATGCCAAAGTGAGTAAACATGTTCACTACCTATTCATTTGTATACTAATGTACAATCATAGCCTCGAGCAAAGAACATCGTGGTATATCGTCCTTACTATTTTCTACTCATTCAGTTTGTCACTGGGTTTCACATCTCTTGTAGTTTTATTATCTTTTTTTCATCTATTTGTGACTTCGAGAAATAATGAAGATCTATTTTGGTTTTGCATGTATCTTTTTCATCTTATTTTCGACGAACATGTCGCTACCCTATATGATCTTCCAAGATGGTATTAATTCTGAATTAAAGTTTATTGATTAATATTGTATAGTTAATTTATGTACATAATTTTTATTCAGGCACCACGTCAACGAAGAGTCCAACAAAAAAAACAACCATTTCTTCCTCGCAAAAGCCAACATCAACGACCTCATCGACATGGACTATTTCCAGTACACATCGTTCAAGCACAACAAAAAAACCTGTCGTTGTTATGACGTCAACAGAAAAACCGATGAAGGAATGCAAACATGGGCAATATTACGCCTATCCCAATTCTTGTATAAACTTTTTAGTCTGCGTTAATGGAAATCTAGTGTCTCAACAATGCGGTCCAGGACTGAACTGGAACAAAGAAAAGAATATGTGCGATTGGGCATACAAGAACCCATGCAATGAGAAACCAATGAAGAATGCTTTACTCGTCACAAAGGATACAACTTCGAAGGTGGATTATACAACGTATAAACGTTGATCTAGTCTTTTTTTAAACGTCTAATAAACTTAACATTAACTATAACAATTTTATTTAATTCTAATTACAGAACTGTATCTCTGGAAGTTATGGTCCCGTATCTGGTGATTGTGAAAGTTACGTAGCTTGTTTATGGGGCCGCCAAGAAATCTTTCACTGTGCTCCAGGATTGCATTTCAATAAGCATAGTAGTATTTGTGATTGGCCATCGAGAGCTAATTGTCAAGAGAATGTTGATGATAAGGAAGATAAAACTGAAAAACCTAGCACAAAACCTCCTCTTCAAAATGGATCCCCTACTACGTTAATTACTGAGAGGCCTACAGTAACTACTACTCAAAAAACGACAACTCAAAGTCCAACTCAGTCTACAACTTTATCTCCGGTTGAAATAGATCCTGATAAAGTTTCACCTCTTTCTGGATATTTTAAGGTAACTTTCGTAATTCATCTTTTATCTTTTTATAATTTATTATGAATAAAGAATATATTAATATTTTGTGTAATGTTTTTTTTTCATACTAACATAGGTTGTTTGCTATTTCACAAACTGGGCATGGTATCGCAGGGGTGTAGGACGGTATTTACCGGAACACATAGATCATACTCTCTGTACTCACATTGTTTATGGTTTCGCAGTGTTGGATTATTCTGAATTGACTATTAAAGCTCATGATTCTTGGGCCGACTATGATAATCGTAAGTCCGCGAATATCTTTTACACAAATATAATATGATAAATATTAGGTCATTAAATATAAAATGTCTGATTTCGAGGTGAAAATAATCCGAGTTATCAGACATTTCATAGTTAATAACCTAATTCTATTGTTAAATTAAATGTAATTTATTTGTTGTGTTTTCTTCAGGATTTTACGAACGTGTTGTAACTTATAAGAAACGTGGTTTAAAAGTATTGTTAGCTTTGGGAGGATGGAATGATTCTGCTGGTGATAAATATAGTCGTTTAGTAAATAATCCTGCGGCTAGACAGAAGTTTATTACTCATGCTATTAAGTTTATTGAAAAATACGGTTTTGATGGACTGGATCTGGATTGGGAATATCCAGTATGCTGGCAGGTGGATTGCAAAAAAGGGCCAGACTCTGATAAAGAAAGTTTCGCAGCATTAGTTAAAGAATTAAGTACTAGCCTGAAACAGAAAGGATTATTATTAACAGCTGCTGTCTCTCCTAGCAAAAAAGTGATCGACAAAGGATATGATGTACCTACCTTAGCAAAATATTTGGATTGGATTGCAGTGATGACATATGATTATCATGGACAGTGGGATAAGAAGACTGGACATGTTGCTCCTATGTATGCTCATCCAGATGATGAATTTTATTACTTCAATGCAAATTATTCGATAAATTACTGGATCGCTAAAGGGGCACCTCCTAGAAGTATAGTCATGGGTAAGAATCTTCATTAATAGATATGTATCTAAATATTAAACTTTTTTATACAATTGACATTAAAGCTTATACTTCATTAATTAGGAATGCCATTGTATGGACAATCTTTTACAATAAATGATCCAAAAGCTGGAGTTGGTTTGAATGCGCCAGCAAGTGCTGGTAATGCTGGTGAATTCACAAGGGCAGCAGGATTTTTAGCTTATTATGAAATCTGTAATCGAATTCGCAATCATGATTGGACTGTTGTACAAGATCCTGAAAAGAGAATGGGACCATATGCTTATAAAGGAAGTCAATGGGTTAGCTTCGATGATGCTGATTCGATTAGACGAAAAGCTCAGTTTGTTAGGAACATGAATCTTGGGGGAGGAATGGTCTGGGCATTAGATCTTGACGATTTTAGAGGACGATGTGGAGAAGGACCTCATCCACTCATGCACACTCTACAACAGGTCCTTTCTGAACCACCAAATCAACATGACGAACGTATGTATTTTTATATTTTTCTCATAATGTTTTTTTATATTATTTACTCATAATGTTTTTTATTGTGGCGTTTGTATAGCAATTAAGCCACCAAGTGTTGGAAGTGATCTGGAATGGAAGATGCCTGTCGCTTCAGACATTACTTCAACAGCAATGCCTACAACATTGATAGAACCTGAGCATACCACTTCAGTAATAAAACCTGATGATTCTAAAGGATTTAAAGTTGTTTGTTATTTCACCAATTGGGCATGGTACAGACAAGAAGGTGGAAAATTTGTTCCAGAAGATATCGACGGTGATTTATGCACACACATCATTTACGGTTTTGCTGTACTTGATGGTTCCAGTTTAACGATAAAAACTCATGATAGTTGGGCCGATATAGACAACAGTAAATATTTATTCTATTTAAATTTTGGAGCTTGAAAAAAGAATAGGTATTTTTCTTTATTTGGTAATTATTTTTTTTTTATGACAGAATTTTATGAAAGGGTGGTCGCTTATAAATCAAAAGGTATCAAAGTGTTGTTAGCAATTGGAGGATGGAATGATTCGGCAGGTGATAAATACAGTCGTCTGGTAAATTCAGCTAGCGCTAGGGAAAGATTTACATCACATGTTTTACAATTCCTTGAAAAATATGGTTTCGAAGGACTCGATTTGGATTGGGAATATCCCGTTTGTTGGCAGGTATATCTTGCATAAATACATTTAAATAATTGCGTTTTAACTATATGATGTTTATTTGTTACATTCTTCAGGTCGATTGTAAAAAGGGTCCAAAATCTGATAAAGAAAGTTTCGCTCTTTTAGTACAACATTTAAGTAAAGTATTCAAACCGAAAGGCCTACTATTATCAGCAGCTGTTTCACCAAGTAAACGAGTTGTCGATGCTGGCTATGACGTAATTTCTTTAGCTAAATATTTAGACTGGATATCTGTCATGACGTACGATTACCATGGCCAATGGGACAAGAAAACTGGACATGTAGCTCCACTGTATGCACTTCCTAGTGATTGGGAACGTACTTTTAATGCCGTATGTTTTCTACTTTTTACAAATATTTAATTATTACTTCAAACTTGTTAATGTATAAAAATTTAAAGAATTTTTATTTATAGAACTTTTCAGTTCATTATTGGCTAGAACAGGGTGTACCACCGAAAAAATTAGTAATGGGTGCACCTATGTATGGTCAATCCTTTTCCTTGGCACAAAGTACTCAACGAGGATTAAATGCACCTACATATGGCGGTGGAGAAGCAGGTGAAGCTACAAGAGCAAGAGGTTTCTTATCTTATTACGAAGTATGTACGATCTATTTGTTTCTATACATTATCTCAATCTGGAAAATATACAATTTTCTTTTTAATCTTTCCAGATTTGTGAGAGAACATTAAAGAAAGGTTGGTCGGTAGTTCAAGACAGCCAGAGACGTATCGGACCATATGCTTATAAAGGGGATCAGTGGGTTAGCTTTGATGATGCGAAACAAATTAGGAAAAAAGCAGAATTAATCAAAAAACTTGGTCTTGGAGGTGGAATGATTTGGGCACTAGATTTAGACGATTTTAAGAACAGATGTGGCTGCGAACCTAGTCCTTTGTTAAGAACAATGAACAGAGTTTTGAGAAATTATCCTGAAGGACCACTTTGTCCAGTATCGTCAGGTTTATGTTTCTTCTTGTCATTTTATTATAAAATACAATAATAATAATTTAGAGACTATATATTGTATTTCTTATTAATACAGAAACCACTTCCATTGATTTTGATGAATCTGAAACTCAAGCGGAAAGCACTGGGTCGTCAACAACCGAATCCACATCTACATCTTGGCCTACCTATTTGCCACCTGCAACAACAACAACAACCACAACAACGTCAACAACATCAACAACTACTACTACTACAGAATCATCGGAAGAAAATGATACTATTGAAATAATAGCTGGTCCACCTCCAGCAGGTATCGCACCTTTAGGTGATTGTGGTGGTAAATTATTTATTCCACACAAAAATGACTGTGCTAAATATTATCTCTGCAATTTCGGTAAACTTTCTGAACGTTCTTGCCCTAATGGACTTTACTGGAACGAAAATAGATGCGATTGGCCGGAAAATAGTAAATGTAAAAGAGAACTTAGACAACGTCAGGTAAATATAAACTCATTCATTTCAAATTATTTATAACATTACGAAATCATCATGTAATCAATCAATGTACATATTGCATCATATTTCAATTTCTAATAATTACATAATCATCTTATGCACATTTCTTTTCCAGACAAGTGACGCATCCATGGCTTTATCCCTTAGCGAGAACAACTCGAAGAAAATTGTTTGTTACATAACAAGTTGGGCTCAGAAAAGACAAAGTGAAGGAAGATTTATAACACAGGATTTAAACTTAGATCTCTGCACACACGTCGTCTACGGTTTTGCGATATTAGACGAGGAAAGTTTAACGATAAAAATGCCGGACTCTTGGGACAAGGAAGATGAAAAGTTCTTGAGAGATATGATATTGTTGAATGCTCAATCTTCGAACCCTGTTAAGATATTGATTGCCTTGGGTGGCTGGAAAGATTCTTACGGGGACAAATATAGCAGAATGGCGAGTGATTCAGCTAGCAGAATAAAGTTAGTCGATAGTATCATTAAATTTATTAACAAATATAAATTTGACGGTCTTGATCTTATTTGGGAATATCCAGTATGTTGGCAGGTAAATAAGCAAATATGAATAATAATTCCTAAATTAGATTGAACCAAAGGAGAGAAGCTATGTATGTATAAAATAAATTACAGATAGATTGTAACAATGGACCTAAAAGCGACAAGTTAGCCTACATCAATCTTCTTCGGGATCTTAGAACGGCATTGAAAATTCGTCGATTACTTTTCTCAGCCGCAGTTTCATCAAGTAAAAAAGTAATCGATATTGCTTACCAAGTTCCAATGCTTTCCGAATATGTTGATTGGATCGATGTTATGACTTATGACTATCATGGTTATTGGGAAGAGCAAACTGGTCATGTGGCACCATTATATCATTGTTCGGCTAACGAAGATCAATATATGAATGTAAAATCTAGCTTGAAATACTGGATTGAGAAGGGTGCACCTTCTGAAAAACTTATGTTAGGTATTCCGGCATACGGACAATCATTTACTTTGGCCGAAAATGCAATACCATTAACAACAAAGAATTCCAATTTCGTTCCTTCGCAATCTTCTGGACCTGGAAAACCTGGAAAATTCTCGAAAGTTCCAGGATTTCTTTCTTATTACGAAGTAGGTATTATATTGTACAAAATTGAATTTACATTGTAAGCTCATTTTTGATGTCCTATAATAAACATCTTTTTGTGATCGTAGATATGCGATAATGTAAAAAATGCTAGATGGAATGTAACCAAAGACCCGGAACGTTGTTTTGGATCGTATGCAACGAAGGATGATCAGTGGGTCAGTTATGATGATGTATCAAATGTATTCAAAAAGGTATAAAAAACAACGTATTTGTATGAATGTTAACATTCACGTAAAAGTGTTAACATTTATTTTCTTATCTTTTTTAACAGGCTGATCTTATAAGAGAATTAAATCTTGGGGGTGGATCAATATGGTCACTTGATTTAGACGATTTCTCTGGTAATTGTGGTTGTGGAAAATATCCTTTATTGACTGCACTGAACCGTGGCCTTGTTCAAGAGAAACTACAAATGACGGATTGTACATAAAAGATTAGAAAGAGTCTTGCGCATAGTAAACATTTCTACGATCAAATTGAAATTCATTGTTTGCTGAATATAACGTATGTAAAATACAGCAGCAATAGTAACCGTGGTATAGAACAATATTCATCTTTCTTTGTCTTTTGTTTTTTCTTATTCAAATTACACATTTGTGATGAAAAAAATATTCTATTATGAATTATAAGAAGTGAACAAATTGACAAACTTTTCCAAGCGACACATTTCAAAATTTCATTTGTTCATTCATTAATAATTTCATTAATTCTATTGTTTATTCGTTCATCATTTAATTAATTCATTAATTCATTCAATGTCCTTGTCTTTCAATTGCGTCGCTTGAGAAAACTTTGACATTAATAATAAAACAACAAAATTGTATGTAGCCTTCATAATATCTTCTTTTAAAAGCTATCAATGTATTTGTGATATACCGATATGTAAAGAGTAGTTAGAATATTATGTGTTTCACTATTTACAATTACAAATACAATTTACAAACATTGTGTCATATTAATTAAAATATGTGATGTTTGTTCAATAATGTTTGAACAACAGCAAATATTCATCTATTTAGTATATACTTTTACTCGAATGAAAAATGTCGGAGTTCCTGCATGAATAAAAGAAAGTAATAAATATTTTTGCATGTATACAAAATACAAATATTACCTATAATAAAAATATATACAAATATTATTTTTTATTTACAATATTGTAAGGATTGTATATTGAAAAAAATATATAAAATACACAATATTAACAATATCGTAAATAATAAAAATTATTTGGATATTGTGTTACATAGCGCATAAACATACGCGTAATAAGCATTGTTGAAATGCGGTTAATAGTGACAATCGTTGATATTATAATTCATAGAGTATGTTGATATAACTTTCAGTAGGCAGAAGTAGTACAGCTAAGCATAGTCGGTTGCCTTTTTTTTACTTTTGTCGTTGAAGGACGCGCATTCATTCACTCACGTACCGTTCGAGTTAGTGCACGACTAGATGTTTGTATGAAAGCAAGTTGTAAACGCATTGACTCTTGAAACTTTGATCTTGTCACCTTTTTTTTTCATTTTAATGTAATTACGCGTATTACTAAAAGATCATAACTCTTTCAACTCGATTGAAATGATGGATGAAAATCAAGGTAAACTTAATCAATTATTATTTATTTATTTATTTATTTACTTATTCTATTTTTTTCACAAAATCAATGTGTTAAAAAATTATTAACTTCTAATTGATTTTATTTCAATACTCGTTTTTTTATTTTTATTATTGATGTAAAAGAAATTCATCAATTTTCAAATTATCGTACGTACATTCTAATCGATTATAAAAATAACTCGAAAACAACACTAATATGACACGTGTGTAAAATAGAATATTTTATATGTGTTATACAATCTTTCTTTTTTGTTTTTCTTTTTTTACAATATCATAACATTTAGCTAATTAAACCATTGTAATGAAATATTTAAATGAGATTTTTAGTACGTTTTTAAGATACGTTTAAAAAGCCATTTTTTTAATGAGGCCTAATTGCATACATGTATGTATACACGTGTGTTCATTGCTTTTTATTTATACAAACAAATTTATTTATATAGAAAATATATATAGTATATAGAATTGTAAATATGTATTATAAAAATTATGATAGCAAAAATAATTTTATTTTTATGTTATGCAATTGAATAATTCATTATAATGTAAATTAATGAACACGACTGACTAAAGTAGTATAAAAGTTTAAAAGTATAAAAGATGACAAATTTATAGAAAGAGCGATAAATAGAATTAATATGACATGTCGTATCCTGTTGAGATATCCTGTCTCGTTAAATACTTCCATGTATAATAAGATAAGATAAGATTTCACTACAGATATTTCATCAGCTAACAATAAGAAAAGTTTTAGTACGATTGATATTTGCGAACAATTGTGATTGATTTATCGTAGAATTTATAGTTTAAAATACGTACGTATTTGTTTATCTGCATAAATTTAAAATAATCAGAAATGTTAAGATCAGTAATTATCAGTTTGATATTCAGTTAAATTTATATAAACATATTTGAATTATGCAAAAATATATTTACTCGATATCTATGTACACACGTTTAGGATATTTAAGAGACGAATGATCTAACCTTAAAACTGCATATACACCTGTGCATTTCGACTAATTTGAGACAGTAGCGCCACGCTCGGTATTTCAAGGACATTAACCTTTTGCATTCTTTATTACTTTATATGACCCGCCATTTATAATCTTTCATATTTTCTATATAAACATGCTACCAGGTAGCTCTTAAATTCCACAAATAATTATTAATATCGTTGATAAGAAATTATACTTTAAATACGGTTTATATATTATCTATTGAGTTTGATTTCTTAAGCACAATTTAATTTATGATTTTATATAATCAATTATAGAATCTGACGTTTCTGCGCTGTACATTGATGTGTCCAAAGCCACTCCAGTTACCGGTCAATTAAATAAAACCGTAAGTTGTCATTATACTTGTTATTGTGATTTTTATTATTTATAATATATAAACATGCAATTATTGTCTTGTTCAATATTATATGTATCAATTACGTCGTAGAAATGAAGGCATTCCAATTACATTTTATTTTTATTTATATATAAAAACTTTGTTTATAATATAGCATTTTTATTTTTATTCTCTGTTGTTTTTTTTTCATCTATACATTTTTCATTAAAATTCTGCTTTGTTCACTACCCTAACATCTTATAAAAGATATACTTTATACATTTAATTTCTGTTTACGATAACAACTTTAATTTTTTGATGTATAATTGCATGCAAAAATATTTGATGATAATTTCACTACGTCATTTATTATTTTCTATAATCTATTACTTTAATAGATATTTAGATAAACATAAATATTAACAAGTTTACTTTTCTTTTACATAATTCATTGCAACATAATAATTATCTTTTATTATTTTTCTTACTTTTCTTTCTTCGTAGGAGAATTCCATCGCTAAATTAACATATTCTTATATAATGTAATCATTTTGCTTTTATTAAACTGCGAGAAATGTTACTGTAATATTTGATATTCATATCATTGCCTTTCTTTATCTAATATAAACCTTGACATTCAAGTATTAAAGCAGTATTTTTATAGATCTGTCGCTCTTTCTTGAAAACTTTCATTCACTTCGTAGCAATTTAAAAAAATATCTTATTATTTATATTTAAATAGCATGTTTTTTAACTAAAATCATTAGTAATGTGATTAACTTGATGCATTTTTTATTTATGCCTTATTTTTGTAAGAAATTGTTTGAAATGATTTGATTGAGTTACCGATGAAAATTATTAAATTATATATCATCTTAATGTTTATTTGTTATTACTAATTCAAAACAATTTGTAATACATGAATCCTGGTATGTTTTGGGTCCTTTTAATTTAATCTATTATTATTCGATTTGATTTGGTAATTTAATCAATGAAATACTAATTGATTTAAATAATATTATTTAAATTATAATGATGATAATGCATGATTGATTGCATATCTGACTAGTTTTCAGGTATTTCTACGATGTGTGATATTTTTTAGTTTTGTTTCGTACTACCATCCCTGGCTTATCCATGCTTTCTCACTGATCGGTCTTCAAGGGTGCAACATATTCTACGTATTGTTTGTGATGCTTATTTATTCCAGCGGTATGGTTATTGGTTTTTCATATTGTCATAGTTTTATAAGGAGAAGGGTCGGTGAAGATAGTAAAAGTGAAAATTTGGTCTCTAAAGTATGTTGCATTATGTTGTCTATCAGAGATGGGCTATCGCAATTACTTTTATAATTCATCGATCATTTAACTGTTATATTCCTTTTTTCCTATTAATTGAAAATAAGTTTTAACTATTTTTCTCGATTTCAATTGTATTACAATTTTATAATCATTATAATAATATGGAAATTATTTCTATTTTGTAGATTACCAAATATATATGATAATTTTTATTTGTAATTAATTGTTTCATTAATATGTTCATGTATGTATGTGTGTCCTATGTGAAATTATAAAAGTAATTAATAACGAGTTTCAAACTAATTAGCAGTTATAAATATAATATATATATTTGTAATTATTAATTAGTTTGTAAATCTATTAATGTCCATTTTAGAACGGTGTCATGCATTCATCATAATCTCTTATTGGTTTCTTTTTATTAATGGGATTTATATTGCAGTTTCAGTTTACTTTCCTTTTTCTTTATATTTCTATGCATGATTCTTGTGAAAAAACTTTTTATCAAATTTTATATTAAAATGGAAAATGTATTGTTTTTAATTGAGCTTAATTATTGTTTTTAGAAAGAAGAAAATGAAATTGATCCTAAATCAGGTAGATGGACTACTTTATTGGTCTTGGCAGGAGTTACGTGTTGTTTGGGTTCCGCACTACCAGCAGGATATAACTTAGGTGTATTGAACAATCCTGCAGAGGTTAGTATTATAACAATTATTTAATATGATAGATTGTTTATAATAAATTAAAATTATAATTTGAATCATTATTGAAATAATAAGATATTAATCATTATTTTTGCATTCTAGTTAATCAGAAACTTTTGTAATCAAAGTATTATTGAAAGATATGACATACAATTAACTCACAATGAAATAATGATACTATGGGCTACAATAGTATCAATTTTTTTAATTGGTGGAGTGACCGGTTCATTGATAGCAAGTTGGTTAGCGGATAAATTTGGAAGAAAAGGAGCATTAATGACTGGAAACATTTTTGGAATTATAGGTGCTATCCTCTTCCTCCTTGTACCAGCATTAAATTCTGTTGAATTGTTACTTATAGGACGACTGATTGTTGGTGAGAATAATTTACACACAATGTATCTAAAATTATATTTAAAAGTCTATTATAAATATATTTTATTATATCAGGTCTGTCGGGAGGATTAGCTACAAGTTTATTACCAATGTATATGACAGAAATAGCACCTCTTAAATTAAGAGGTGCTGTCGGAGTGTTATGTCAATTAGGTATCACTAGTGGCGTATTTCTTGGACAAATTATTGGACTTGATACAGTGTTGGGTACTGAAGAAAGTTGGCATATCATGTTAGCAGCAGTTGCAATTTTATGTGCAATTGCTTTACTTCTTACTTTCATACTGCCAGAAAGTCCCAAATATTTATACATTATTAAGGAACAACAAAGTAAAGCACTTAAAGGTTAGCAACTTAATTTTGTTGTTAAAATTAACAAAAAATAAATCCCAATTATAAATTTATAGCATAAAATTGTATTACAGAGTTAAGTCGTTTACGTAATATGGATATAATGTTATTACAAAACGAAGTTGCTGGTTTACAACATGAATTCATGTCCAGATCGTCTGCAGATACTTGGACGATAGGTCGTATATTTAGAGAACCTACTGTTAGATTACCTCTATTCCTAGTATGTTCTCTTCAATTTGGCCAGCAACTGACCGGTATAAGTGCAGTATTCTACTACTCAAATTCGATATTTAAAGATGCAGAATTAGGAAGTACTGGATCACAATATGCTACTCTTGGAACTGGGCTAGCTAATATCGCTATGGCTGTGATATCTGTTCCTGTTATGTCGTTATTCCATAGACGGATTGTTTTATTAAGTAGTTGTTATTTATGTATTGGATGTCTAATCATTTTATGTGCTTCCATAGTTTTAATTGTAAGTTTCTCGTAAAACAGTTCACATCTTTATAAAAAAAAAAGAAAGTTGATTTCTAATGTTTTTTTGATCGTTACAGCATACAGTTTCATTTATGCCATGGGTGTGCATAGTGGCAGTAATTGCCTATGTCATTTTTTATGGTATTGGCCTTGGTCCAATTCCTTTTTTTATTGGGTCAGAATTGTTTGATGTTGGACCCAGACCTATTGCAATGTCTCTTGGAAGTGTCTGCAATTGGGGTGGTAATTTTTTAGTTGGAATGTTATTTCCAACGTTGCTAGCATCAATCGGTCCTTACACCTTCCTAATCTTTACAGGATGTATTTTACTTCTAGCACTATTTGTCGGGTAACTTGATAACATTTTATTATTTACAATATTACTGCTCTAACATAAGTAAACATTCCTTTTATTTTAATTAAATTTATTTTAATTGCTTTTATAGTTTTTACTTGCCAGAAACACGTGGCAGAAGCACTATGGAAGTTGCAGCATCTATTACTCAAGGATTGCGGTCAAGACCAAATGCAAAGTCTGTGACTTAAATAATACATTTTTGAGGTATTTGAAAGTGATGATTACTAAAAAAAAAGAACTTACTTATGATATAAAAACTTTATTCCGTAGTCAATAACATTTCGGATAAAATTAAATGTTATAAAAAGTAAGCATAAAAGCAACAGCTGTTGCAGGATCGTGATTTGCTTAATGTTTTACATTATTTTTAAAAGGAACATTATTTTATACGCTAACTATATAATTTTTTGACGAAGAAATGAATTTATTTTAACTATTATATATATTTACATAAACAAATGTCAACAATCTACATTTCCATTGCATAGAACGCAATGGATTATTTATATATATATAAAGATTAATACGTTTTATGTTCTTGCATCGTCGTATAATTGATCTAATTTTTTATAGAATACTAAACATAAAACTGTGTGCGGTGCTATTCTCATCCACGTTGGGAAAGTTCCTTTGTATAAGCCATATAAACCTTCCGTTCGCCAGATTTTAATTAAAGCGTCAAAGAGCCCATTATAGAGGGTACCACCTTTACCATCTTTCGTTGCTTCTGCGTACATACAGTAATATTCAAGAATGATCAACCATCATTATAATAGAATGAAAAAGCATACATCTATATGAGCACTTACTTTGATTATACAACCTTGTGGCTAATACATCAAAAGGTTGCATAGTAAGGGCTACACACGATCCACCAATTAACGAGGAAACGAATGTTAAAGTTATAGGATAGTCTGTAAGTATCTGAAAACATGAAACAAAAATTGTATTTGAGACGAATTTATCATATAATAGTCTACTTACATTCAAAGACTCTAACCAATCCGAAACCAAACCGAACGTAGTCAATTGAGTAGACGATCCAACAAATAATCTTGGTATATTGGCATACCAGCCACGAAATACCGCAGCGATACCACCTTGTTTCCAAAGTTTTCTAAATGCCGACCACGTTCCAGTATGATCGTGTTGATGACCAACAGCAATAGATTGCGCAGATTGAGCTTGTATTTGTGTCTTGACCTAATATTCAGATTTTAATTGATTAAAATAAATTTGTCTCAAACGTATTTATGAACAACAACTTAGTTATGGTGAATTCGTATGAGAATAAAAAGAAGAAGATTTCAATTGAAAGCAATCGTGATCGCTAAATGATTAGTTCTTATTATTGGTCATCAACTAACTTTAGTATGATAAGCGTAGAAATATAGGAGCTGAATTTTGCACATATTTTCAATTATATTACCAAATAGAATGGGCTACCGAGAACACCTCCTAAACAACCAGCCAATCCTGTGATGAGCACAGTTTTCAGGACAGCCGTATTTCCTTTACTGTCTTGTATGATACCATACTTTTTAGCACTGTTATATACACCTAATCGTATACCGTTGAGAACTACTTGAAAATATAACGCTGGTGCAATACCAGATTGTAAAGCCAATATTCCTTCGTGTTTGGCTATCAAATAAGCAGCGTGAAATGTATTTTTGTATATCTTTTTATAAGTTCCTCTAGCTTCGAGTTCTCCTTGGAGTTGCAATCGTATTTTAATAACGTCTGCTGGATTAGTAAATAATCCAGCGCCTGCAGCCGCTACCGCTCCTATCACAAATTCCGCTCCGAGTCTAGAAAAAGAAACTTAATAAAATAACTAAAGCTTAAATTATTATTCGTAAATGATAAAAAGGCGAATAAATTAAATTCAAACGATCGAGAACGCGCGCATTTGAATGTGACCAATGAAACACTAACTATCTTTCGCGTACTCTTCATCGATTGGTCGGCATACAAATTCAATATTAAATCGAGTAGACAATAATAATATCGAATTGTAAATGAAATAACACATTATTATTGCATAACACCGGCGTAAGTTTTCGAATGAATAAAAAAGTCACGCGAGTTTTAATACTACTCTTGGTTATGAAACATAGTAAACGCGTTAAATTTATATGTTTTAAAAATCACTTACGGTTTTTCTTTTGCTATATTCGATACAGTGAGATTTTCGGCGGTAGCCATGCTGAGAAATATAAATCAAGTTCACTGGGACACGAAATTGACGACTATAAGTTTATCTATGTCGCAGGATATGTGTAACACTAAACGCACACGTTCAGAATGGAAACTAATACAGGGAGTGACTAAAAGAAAAAATATTTAGATGACGAACTGAACCAAATTCTGTGTTATACTTATTATTGCAGTCACTGAACCTGATCGCGTAACATTTCATCATATCTACGTCATTCTCTTACTAGATATTGACATTTATTTACATTAGGCAATGACTTTGAGAAATAAATTTATTACGGTCCTTTATCTGTAAGCATATTTACTTATCTTTAATATTTTATGTCCACGTATTTATACCACGTAACAATCATTTCGTTTATATTATCCTGTTGTATTTATTTTCTTTTATCATGTTTTTTTTTACAAATTTTCTTATTAAAAAAAATATTTGTTTATTAATATCTATCGCTTAATTATACAACTGAGCTTATATAAATGGATTAATCAGTTATCTAGAATTTGGAAGGTCTTACAATTTTATAGTCATAGGACATACATATGTCTATGCAATTATAAATTTATACCTCTTTTGATATCTATCTAATCTGAAGATATCGTTTAACCATTTAAATACTGAACTTGTAATCTTACATCACTTTTGTTTTACTTAAAAATCTGACGAAATTTTTTCCTGTTTTAATAATTGTTATTTACTTTCATTTTTATAAGTTTTAATATATTTTATATTAACATTTTGATGTACATATTTTTAAAATTAAAAAGAAAAAATACTATAAATTTATCGTACGTATTTTTTTGAAATATCGAAAAAAATTCGATCGAAGCATAAAAACAAGCATAATCGGTTAAAAATAAAAAATGTAAATGAAATTAATTTAAATATTTTTCCACAAATATATATTTATCTTTATACTTTTATGGAAATCATTTTAAAAATATACACATAGTCTCAAAATGATATTACCTTCGATCATCACATTTTTCTTTCTTCTTTCGAACAAAAATTATTATTTGGAAATAATCAAGAATTTTAATACAACGAAAATTGGTCATTTGATTGATAAATCGATCGTTAATTGATCAGTTTAATTCGATATCGTGTGATATTGTTACACTCTTATGATAAATCAAATTTGAAAGAAAGAATTTTATTTTTCTTCTTCTTCTTCTTCTTTTACTTATTTTTCTACTATTAATTATATGTATTTTTTTATTTTTTGGTCATCTTTTATTAAGAATATTTTACGATATGCTATATATATTCATACTGATTACAACTTTGATACACAATACGAATAATGTGCGACAAAATTACACTTAATAGGATTAAAACGATACGCGAAAGCTCGTTTAATACTAAACTAATCACATTTGAAGGTCTAAAATAAAATTTAAAAAAAAAAAAAAAAGAAATAAAATAAAAACGACGAACCGATTGTTGTTTAGCGTTGACATGAATATAATATTACGTGTGTGCAATTGCATGTATTATCCGTTTATACTGTATTTTACATCCTTTTAAATTGTTTTATTTTGTTGTTAATTTTTAAACACATTTTCTATGTGCAATATATGAATACTTCAATGAAAAAAATTATGCAATTTGAAAGGGCATAATTAAAATATACATAAATTTGTCGAGACACAACGCAAATATACGATTTACAGTAAAATAATAAAATATTCGTATGAAAAGCGTGGGTTGATATTAAAGAGGAAAACAATCTCTTACGCACTTTTTAAAATAATATAAATTAAAATATACTCGTGCATTTAACGTGAATGACAAAAAAAAATTCACAAAATTGTTTACGTTATTTCTTTGGTCTCGTGTCGAACGTCTTATACAAATCTAAGAAAATTGAATGAGCGTCTTAAAATAGAAACGCTGCATTTGTGCTGTATAAATGTACATATACATATTATACTTATGTATATATGCATATATTTGTATGTATGTATATACGTATAAGTAAAATAAAATTTCAGCATTGGAATTTTACAATACCCGTAAAATACATAGCTCGGTGCTATGTACAAGTTTTTCACTATTTAAATTTAATGATAAAAACTTACATGTTTGTTAATATTCAGTCGCGTAACTTCATTGTTTCATTACCCTTTTACATTTTCATTTATGTATATATTTATATATGTAAAACGAGATTACGTAAAAATACTTTTTAATTTATCACGATTCATGCATATGTTTGTATTGAAATATAATAATAAGGTTGGGCGGAAGGGGGATGTTATCACTTAACGTTTAAAATACTGAACATCTTCTTCGATTTCGAATGCGAATAAAATTAGAAATTGAAATAGAAAAACAGAAAGATCTTATTATATCAAAATAAAAAATTATTTTTAATTTTAAATCCTGCAAGAATTAAAAGAATTGTATTTTTGGCTATCTTCCATAGAAAAGAAAAAAGATGTTTGTGATAAAAACATTAGGATAAATCATCCCTTTACGTATATTAATTATAAGTAATGAATTTACCTAAAACGTTGTTCCACGATCATCGTGTGTGTATATATACACATTTTATATATATACAACAGACCTGCCCAATCATAAATTTAAGAAAGCACCACACTCTTATCTCATTTGTATTCGATCTTTACATATTACACCAATATTTTCTTTTCTTCTATTCATTCTAAACATCTTTCTAAGTACTTCCGCAGAATATCACGTGACTTATAATAATTATCATTTAAAGGAATGCTCTAATTATATATGTATAAGGCATACTTTGTTAATCATCGACGTTCTCTGCTCGCATAAACTGAAAAAATAAATACATTAAATCGTTTTACGCGATAGGGAAACGCGCGACGATTTAAAACGTTCTTTTAAAACTCATCATCATCAAAATATTTCTTGGAAAATTTAAATTTAAATCCTATTTTAATTCAGCAATTCACCTAAGAATGGTTGAGTGATTTATTAGAATAATTTGAATACTCGTATCTTGGCAAGACACAATTTCAAATTCTTTGAATAATTCTAACCATTATTGCTGTGCTTATTATCAAAGAATATTCATTATTATACTAATCATAATAATCGATGGATATTCATTAAAATTATATTATGTTAATAACGTAATGAATAATTGAAAGAATGTTAGTCGTATATATTAGGTATTATAATTAATTCAGTGCCCTGATATTTAATTCATTGCATCAAAATTGCTATCTTTTTTTGTCAAGGAATTCGGCAGTTGCTTAAAAAATGGATCAAAGTCATCGAAAATAATAAAGACTATTTCGAAAAATAACAAATGTATGATAAACTTATAAATAAATACTAAATTTGTTAAAAAGGCACACAATTAAATGCTATACCTAATATATATATTTATAATATATAATTATAATATATTGATAAAAAAAAAATCATTAAACTAAAATCGTGCGTAGAAATTTAGTAGGAACTTCTCCTCGCATAAAATATATCCATTCGACAAATTTAATAAGCTCGCGAAAAAATGGCTAATGAACGCTTAAAGCCAATTGTCGGAAGTCTTGATATAATATTATCGACTGAGCAGACCTGCTTGTGTAGATTTCGCATAAATTGTATGTATATATGTTATGAATTTATGAATGAATAAGTATGTAAGTATATATAATGCGCACGCGTGTAACATAGATGTATTATGAAGAATATAGTCATCGATTACCGTTAGGTACATTTGCCAAAATTTTTTTATGTAGATCGTCCAAAGATAAAAATTAATAGGAAAGAAATGAGTCTGTTTGTTGGGGGCGTCAATGTCATCATCATCATCGTCAATGATGGGCAGCCAGCTGCCAATACACAATGTGTCGCTTAAACGCCTCTATCTATTTTTTTTTTCTCTTTCATTTTGTCTTTTATTCTGAGTCTGTTTGTTTGTCATTAACGATCGTAGAGCAGTTAGGGATTGCTTGTTGCACTATAAAATGGTCGCTATCACGTGCGTAGAACTTTTCCTTTTCTTCTGAATCGTTCTTCCAAATATCCTGGGATCTGAAAATAGTTTTACATCGGGGATTACAGGGCGTTATCTCGATCAGGATTATACATAAGATCAATGGAACATTTTGCTTAAGTATTTATGTCTATGGTTCCAAATAAACAATTTTCTTCTAATAGGAAAAATAGTCCAAGTTATCACTTTATTATCAATTACTTCATCGTAAATTAATCCTGAACTTTAGAATACTTAGATAGAATAAACTAGATTAAAACAAGACTAGTGATAATGAAAATCATAGATAATACGATCGTTCAACAAATATTTTATGATGCAATAAATATTTAACAAAAAAAAGAAAAGACGCGAATTCTTCGATGGCATCGTCGTTGAAAGTTGAGCTACATGCATCGTGCAAATAAAAAAAAAGAAAAATTAAGAAAATCTATAGAAAAATCGGTAAAACGTCATTATCATTTCGTATTGAGCGAGGCTCTTCTACGTCACTTTTCAAGCTTTTCTTAGCCATTCTGTATTCGAAGCAAAGCGCTCTATGTGGCATTTATTTAAAGTATAGAAACGTTATTATCGTGACATCGAGTCGCTAGAGACATCAACGCTCTAGGAAAATTTTGTACGCTTTTTCTTACTTTAAGTGATGCTCGATGATCTCAAAAAATGTAATACTATTTAATTATGTCATTTGCAGATAAATATAACGCTAGAAAAGAGAAAGTATAAAGCTGCACCGAATACTTCGATATACGTAAGTGTACGTTCTTAATGATGGATAAAATATTATAGGAAAGGTGGGGTTACAGGGTTCGGGGTTTAATCAAATTTGTTGGAGTTTGATGAGGGGTTTTGAAGAGGGTTTAAAAAAAGAGGTGCATAGGGGTCATCACATACTACGTATTTGATAAGACAATCATTATCTTTGGATATATTTTACATTAGTGTAGAGTACAATCGTAATAAGTATATATGTACGATCACAATAAAACGCTTAAGCCCTAAAAAGTACACCATTTAAATCGAATAAAATGCATGCGACGAGAAAGATTTTAGTTTATAAAAAATAAAAAAGCCATTCGAATATCAGAAATATATCGGGCTTGAAGGATTTAAAAAACAAAAAATATAGAAAAAGGGAACAATAAACAAAAAAGGGTTCGGGGGGGAGGAGCATGGACGATCTCCAGCGTAGGGTGTCCAATCAGAAACAAATAAACCGTTCTGTATCGCTACCGCTAAACAGTCAGGTAGGCAGTCTGGGAATATTAAAACATAAGCAATGTAAAAGGGATTTATATATGTATATATGTATATATAAATATATAAATATATGTTTACCAAATGTTGATTTTTTATTGGTGCAGTATTAAAAAAAATAGGAAAAGAAAATATTATAACGAGCAAATATCATAAGGTTTCACAAGTAACTTATTGTTAGAATTGTGTTGTTTTTTGTCCATTACGAAGATCAAAGCACCTGACATTTCTTTTACTTTCTCTCTAATTTTTTCTCTCTCTTAATCACTCACACACGCATACACACACACACGCAAACAAAACATTCGTTACAATTGTATGATGGGGTCTACCTTTGGTTTTGGCCGATGAGTATCCACTGCATCTATTGGAAGTCGTATGTGTTCCACTTTACAACCATATGCAACGGGTGTTAATTTAATGATGGTATGCAATGGTACCTGAAGATACGGTAGTTCCTCTGTAATTAATGGAACAACACCCATTACCC